GCTGCAGGAGTAGAAGACTTGTGCAGCCCTGATCTTTAGACTGTATTTTAGGCTTGTCCTGATCCGATATTTGGATCGTATCGGCCGGCATGAGAAAATGCCAGATACATTTATTTTTAAAAGTCCGATCCCACCCGAGCATTAGCATTAGCATCTCTAACCCACAGGTCTGTGTAAACTTTAGTTGTTATAAATCCCTGTTCAACATGAGTCTGTCAACTAAGTAAGTAGAAAAAAAAAAATCAATTTTAATACAAAAAGCTGGATCGGGACATCCCTACTGTATTTCTACATAATAAGATGATTTCTATAACCATAAAATAGTTATTGAGGGGTGAATTGATTCAGACGGAGCACTACTGAAGGCCTAGGTGTGAAATGCACGGTCCGCCACTGGATTCCATCAGGGTCTTGCCCCAAGAGAAACAGTTGCCAATGAACGGAGAAGATGTGATGTTAATCTTTATCTCTCCTCATTTAAAATCATCTTTGACTATTTTGCAAACTGTAAGAATATCTCATAAATCCACAATGATTTTAAAAAATTATAACTTTGAGTACCATGTTTTTAGGATAAGGTCAAGAAACAGAATTCAGACAGAAGTGCCACAGGGCATGAGAGAACCCACACACAACATCAAATACGTGTGTTGTTCTATTTGTTACCGATCTGAGACATTTTGAGAAACTCTCTTCACAGCACAGATGCATGAATTAAGTCGTAAATGAATTATACAACATTTCTGCAGTCGTGATTAAGTTTAAAGAATAAACTTTGAAATTAGGTTAGTTCAAATTGGCATTTTGAACAACGGTTACAATTAGTATAGTTAAGTAGTAATCATTCAAACAGTTAATGCAATAAATGCCATGCCCTACAAAGTTTTCCCGATGGGTAAACTAAACTGAATACATTTTCAACGTAACTCAATCCGGCTCTCTAACCCCAAACATAAGTATAAATCTAAAGCGTGAAACAAACCCCTTCCCCCCAAAAAACCCCTGTATTGAAAATAGGTCCCTGTCAGTTGGTGCCCTATCTGGTCACAATAACGATAAAAACAGAACTAAAACACACACATACATGAAACAGTGTGTGTGTGTTGGAGAGAGCTGGTCCCACATTCTGGACGAAACAAAAGACCAAAATTTTCTTTGACCTTACCAATTAAATCATGTTCCATTTTGTTTATTTTGCTCCCCTTTTTCAGATGATAAGGACAGTAGTTGTCAGAAATATCTGGACATTTGCACAGTGCTGCAAAAAACACAATATGCTTTCATGACTAAGTGTATATCACTGCCTTGGGGTGTGAGGATGTGAGGTGTTAGCTTCTGTTTTCTTCAACCATAATCATCACACATACTAGCTGTAGGATCTACCTCCGATGCTATCCACAGAGCCACTACTCCAAGTCAGGCGGGGTAGGCAAACATAAGGTTTCAATTAATTTTCTTTCATATACAACTCTCTACAATTTTGAAGCAAACAAACACTTTTAGTGTTTTGTTGATTGACCTGAATAACCCAATAGTCCTTTTACACAAGCATTCAGGTTCCTCACAGAGCACTAGTGGGGCCCTAAAGTCTGCCTGAAACCGACCACACAGCTTGGCACACCTTTCCCTTGAAGGTTGTTCATTTGTTTTTTGTAGAACTACCGAACCTCAAACAGGTTGAGAGAAGACATTTTCATGGTTCTTCAGTGAGATTCTGCTGGGTTCTGGTCCACATTCTCTGGCCAAAACCATTAATCCTTGTTTCATCATATCATAGACTATTTTATGTCATGATGTGAGAGTCCCCCCGTGTGTCCCCTTTGAACCGTCCAGCTCTTCATAAAAAAACTCAAATGATCAAACTCCTTATCCCCAATATCTAAGTTCAGCTGAAAAAGACTTTCAAGACTGTTGGGCGTACTATGCATTTAGGAACTTTAAAGGCTTTCATGGACCCCTTTAAATGTGTGCGTCTTGCCTAAAAGGTACTAAGAAACAGTACAGACTGTCTTGTTTTAATACCATACAGAACATGATCTCAAAAGTTGCATCATAATTAATAAGCATGCAAAATAAATTATATTTGCTATTATTAAACAAGGTTTAGAATCATCACAAGGAGCATATAAGCTGGATGAGGACCTCTTGTGTCATTGAAAAGCCAAATGTATGACATTTGAGCCTTCCTCTAGTCATTAGCAACATACTAGGAGTTAATGTTAAGATATGTGTGGTCCAACTGCTCCAACAGATGGGTCAAATCTACCAGTGGCCTTTTCCTGACTCGACTGGAGCACACACTGAAGTAACTGACCACTGAGCAATAACCGTGGCCTCAGGCAGAGTTCATCTCTTGGCTCAGAGTCCATCTCTTGGCTGATGGGGCAAGGCAGTTATGGGGGTGGGTGTTCCATTTACAGAACCTTTACATGAGCCTGTATTTGCACGTCGCCTCTGCAATCTGGCTGCACTCTCAGGCCTCACCTTTTACCAGTTGCACTGTGGGGTTCTGTTGTTTACTGAGGTTGCTTTTGCAATCCCTTTGTTGCAATAACTCCCCTCTACATTGATGCTAACAATCTTTAGTCTTCAAGCACTCTAGCAGTAACTCAATGGCTCAATTTGGTGCACTGACATAGAGGCTTATTTTTTACATAACTGCTGGTATCAAAAGGAGGAGCACCTTCACAGGAGATAAGGAGAAAAAAACAGCAGGGGAGATAGCCTAAGGCATAAGAAGGAAATGTGTTGGCTGATCCTCTGCTCTGTCATATCCAATCCAAGTGAATCGTTTGAACATGTAGAATCTCTGTGCTTGAGGCCTTTCTTAGAGTTCTTAGATATAGTCAGACAGTGTTAAAATTTATGATAGACTTTTCTTGTCTAGTAATGAATGAGAATCTTTATAATGGGAGACACAGGGGCAAGCCTGATTACTGTCCTTCATTTACATTCATAATATGAATAAAAATAAACTTAAGAGTCAAACATTTTGAAATTGCAGACTGAACATATCTTTATGATGTTCTGGAGTTGTTTTGGGGGTTTGCTGCCTCTGCAGTGGAGTGATTTTGACCCAAAAGTGCAGAATACTTTGGCTGGTGACTGTGTGAAAGAAGACTGCTAAGAGTGTTCATTCCTGTCACAGGATTAACACCACAACCATTGGACCGTAATCCAACCCCAGACGACTGATTAAGTTAAGAATTACACCTTTGGATCTTTGGTGCTGTTGGCTTTAGGCATAATCAGGCTATTTTAAGGTTTTGTAATCCAAACATAACAGCAGCGACTGACAGAGGCCTCTTTTTCTCAGGGAAATATAAAGGGCTGGGGGAAGTGTTGGACGACTTCATGTCAGCACCAAGGAGAGTGTAAATTAGTGGAAAGATGGTCCCAGAGCTCACATCACAAAAGATGAAGAGCGGGAAAGCAGATAAACCGACGAGCAAGGGGAAGATCTGCTTTTTCATGACACATAGCAGAAGAACTCATCGTACGTGTGCACAACAGGAAGCAAACGAGCTGGCAACTTAACCACACACACATGCTATTGTGAACGCTCAGGAGCACTCGTGCATACATCAGAATCACAGATCAACTCCATGATAGCGCGCGCTGCTGTGACTTAACAGCTCAATAAAGCACGCGTCCCTACCGATCTGCTGCAGGATGACGGCACCCTTGCAGCTCGTTAGTTTCACTGACAGTACATGCCACCGCCGGACAGATGTCATCTCACATTCGTCACACAGAAGCAATCATGCGAAGGCGAATGTTTTTTGACAGCAAATAAGGCCTGTTGGGGAGCATCAAAAAGGCAAAGGGAGGCTATCATCAGAACGACATCACACAGTCTGACTCACCGAGTGGTTGACTCCCCACATAATCACGCTGAGCAGAGGGTCGCTGGCACGGAAGAGCTTCACTTTCTGAGCAACAAAGTGTTTTTTCTTGGTCTTCGTTTTGCTCGCAATAGAGGCGGCAATGCTGCTCGCTGAAGCCATATTTACGCAAACCGGATGATTATTGCAGTACGTGGGATGGTTCCAATAGTCTTCTCTTTTAAACTGGCTCAGTGGCCAACAACTCACGATTCAATAATATGAATACTATTCATTTAGCCAGCTCCCAAATCCAAACTGGTCCCGTTTTGTTCTTTTTTTCCGTCCCACAAAGTCTGTCTCAGGACACGGTCCAAGCTTGAGAGGGACTAATGTCAGAAAATATGATAGGTTACAGCCAACAACGCTGTTTTACGTGGCCCACATCACCACTCTTTCTTCTTTGACTCGTCTGGAGCTCTCCGCACCCCTGCGACGTGAGCTCTCACTGAGCTGGCGTTAGCATAGCCGATTAGCTCGCAAGCTAGCAAGTACCAGTGATAAATTTTCGTTATATTAGGGAACGTTGACAACACACAAAGCTTCTAGCCCAGTGGTAAACGGGAAGCAAATTACGACGTAGCCTTAAAAGAAAACATAAAAACAACTCATAAATACGACTGTGCGGAAATGTAAGAGCTCTGGACTAACAGCTAGCATTAGTCCCTCCGGTCTTCGGTCGCCGAATGACGGGCACAAAGCAGAACAGCTCTCCGCTGACCGTTAGCATGCGAGCTAACTGTTGGTACTAGCCAACTGCTCCCCGCTAGCAAGCAGCTCTCAGCCGTCCTCCTACGCGTTTCTGGTTAGTCCGTAGAGATGACAAGCGTACATCCTGTCATGTTCTTTCCTCGTTCGAAAGGAGAAGATAGCACGACGTAATGTCAACGGGTGGCCAACTCCAGCTCAGCAGCATTGATGTTCATGTGTGCCGCTGTCAACTGACAGCTCGACGGATGGGAGGTGACAGCTTGAGCTTCGCCGTGTCTGCGGCGCTGATTCGCTGCAACTCCCTCCCTCTGACGGGCCTACCTCTCTTTCAATTGCACACAGGGTCACCATAAGCAATTCAACATTACATACATACACACACACACACACACACGTACGCGCGCACACACACGGAATGGCTAGTTGCAGGCTTCCTAGCTATATGGATAGATATATCTATCTCTATATTCATGCGATCTATGTGTGTGTGTGTGTGTGTGGGGGGGGGGGGGGGGGGGGGGGGGGGGGTTGTGTGTGTGTAAGAGGGATTGATTACCCTATTTATTGTTCGCTTTTGCACTCTCAGTAAGAAAGAACCTTAAAAGGTTCCCATTGGTTGGTGGTCCTCGGACCATACCCGTTTTAGCTTGCAGCTGAAATTATTCACAGATTCCTTTCAGTGATAATGTCCCACATCACCCCTGGCAATGTCTTTAGAGGTCGTTTGGATTTCTGGTGCATACTACGCTGTTTCCACTGGCACATTGCTGTGTCAGTGCCTCTCCACAAGCGGGAGGCCTCGGTGTGCTGTTGCTGTATGGACCTCATTTGTTTTATGAGTCGTTCCCAACAGCAGCGCTTTTATACTCCGGTAGCCAACAGATGCTTTCACCAGACACCGATTCCCATAAAATGTTTTACAAGGCTTTTGGTGTTATCATAATTTTTGGGGTTTGTTGATGAATCGGTGTCCCTTTAATACATCTCATATTTTTTGCCGTTACTGAACTTCCTCTCGGCCTTTATTTGATTTACAATACACCCAGCTCTGGCCGCATTTATTGTCAGCTTGGCCAAAATCTGCCCCACTGTTGACAGTAATATAAAAACAGTAATATATAAACAAGTGCTGATTTGCGATCCAAATAGACAGTAGCCGTTTAAAGAAATGTTTAAACCATTTTGCGGCCAACTGGCGCTACGTTGCCTAGCAACGCAATGTCAACCCACTTTTCCAAAACACTGGACTTACTGTCGGGTTCTTGTGGCCGGTTGGTGAACCAAATATAAAATTAAAGCTGGTCTCTTACTTTGGACAGAAAGTGTAAGTCATAGTGACCGTTTGAGAAAATGACATGGTATCTAAATTTGTATTTTTAGCGTTATTTGTCGGTGACCATGCAGTCATTGAGTGATAATTGTCAGCTTAATTGAGTGCTTTTTACTTGAGTGGATTAAACAAATCCTTTACAGCTGCGTGTGTACAGTATAGTCTTTTAGGACACATACAAGCTTCTGCCTTGGCGACAGAATGGGAAGGAAGTCGAGGAAAGACAGTGAAACTCCCTGCAAGGAAACGGTAAGAGAGAAATTAATCAAAAGAAAAACATTTCGTCTTTACCTTGCAGTGAACCCTATGAGTCTTATAACCGACAATATCGGATGTTTTTGTAAAGCTGAGATGCATAGTTGCTGTCTACTCCTGAATAACTCTATCTCCTTTGACACTCAGTTTGAGCCCCTACCTGTTGAAAGTAAAACTCCAGCAACAGCGGTGTTGCTGCTGAACTCCCCAGAGGAAGACATACTTGTTAAAGCATGTGAAGCTATCCTGACATTTGCAGAGAAAGGTACAGCAAAGCTACGGACACAAACACACTAAATGTATTAAAGAGTAACCTCATACAATATCACATACAGTATAATTAGACTTGCTCCTATAAATCTTTCTTTGAGTTCCATCATTATGTAATTAATTAAATGTCAATATACATGATGTATTCTTTTGTAAAGTTTGCCTTTACTTCCTTGCTGAGAAGCTTGCACTTAACCATCCTGAATTATCCTGTTTACTGTCTCCCCCTATTGTTAGGAGATGAGAATAAGGCTTCTCTGCTGGCACTGGGGGCTTTGGAGCCTCTGTGCAGGCTCATTGTTCACAACAACAAACTAATCAGACGCAACGCTTTTATGGCCCTGGGCATTATGGCCACCAACGGTGTGTTATACAACTTGATGCTGTTATTGACTTGGCTGTAATTGACTTGGGTGGTTAACATTGCAACTTTTGTAACTGCCTTGCTCGCGCAGTTGGTGGTAAAGTTTAATGCAGTTTTTTGTTTTTTCTCTGTGAAATTTCAGTGTTCATTGAGCTGATGGAAAGGCTCACTGGCTCACTGTTTTGTGATTCTGTCTCTTGTGTTTTTGCTTTTCAAGGTGATGTCAAAAGTGCTCTGAAAAAAAGAAATGCCATTCGATCGATTGTTGAAAAACTCTCGCCTGACGGTAAGTAATTTTTTCATAAGAACAATACACAAATGTGACTTTATTGTAGATGCAATATTTATCCTTTGAAACTTAGAAATTGTATCTGTGGCAGCAAGTTGTTTTTCCTTTTTGAAGTTAAACTATATCCTGTTTTTGTGATACATTCAATGTTCTAGAAGACACAGTTGTCCATGAGTTTGCGACACTTTGTCTTGCCTCTCTCTCGGTGGATTTTGTTTGCAAAGTCCAGATCTTTGACAACGATGGCCTTCCACCTCTTATCCAGCTCTTATCCAGCCCAGATCCAGATGTAAAAAAGAACTCATTAGAAACCATTTTTAACCTAGTTCAGGTGAGGTATATCCATAAATCTTCAACACTAAATCTTTTCTAAAGTCTCTCAACTGTTAAAAATATTAATGGTTATTTTGGTTTTGGTGTATGAAGGACTACCAAAGCCGTCAGGCAGTACAAGAGTTGGGTGGGATCCCTCCACTTTTGGAGCTGCTTAAGTCGGATTTTCCTGTTATTCAGAATCTGTCTTTAAAGACGCTGCAGAGTGTCACCACAGAAAAAATTGCACGTACTACTTTCAGGGAAGAACAGGGATTTGAGAAACTTATGGATATCCTGAATAACATGGTAAGTGTTTGTGAGATAACTGTTTCTGGTAACATGATCTTAATCCTTATCCCTTTTCCAATCGTCTTTTTATACTTGATGCTCCATTAACTTCAACGTCTGTGTCTTCTCCATGTTCTTCCCCTGGCTGTATTATTATTTCTTACAGGATTTCAGTGATCTACATGCTGACGCCTTAGAAGTGTTGGCTAACTGTTTGAGCGACAGTGACACTGTCCGGCTGATCCACCAAAGTGGCGGACTGATGAGGCTGATTGAATTTGTCCTCACCCCGAACGTGCCTCACATTCAGTGTACCACAGTGAAGTGCCTCGCCAGAATGGCTATGAACAGTAAGTGGAAAGAAGTCTTAAATGAACTTTAAAGATTAAAAACAACAGATCATAATGGCTCTATGAAATAAAAATGACCGCTGTGAGTTAAAAACATTTTTTTTGTCTTGTGCAAATGTCTCCCTATGTAGCCGAGAGTTGCACCGTGCTCCATGAGCAGGAAGTAGAAAAGGTTTTAGTAGAGCTTCTGACGGTGGCGGATGTCAGCGTGAAAACATCTGTTTGCCAGGCTGTGGCCGCCATGGGTGTCTATCCGCCCAGCAAAGGCAGCTTCAGTGAACTGGGTACATGCATAGTCCTTGGACCACAGTGTTTGTGGCACACTCACCGCAGTGACACGTGAATGAGTTGGAGCTTTGTGTGTTTCAGGTGCTGTCCCAGCAGTGATAAAGTTACTCAGCGGCGACAGCTTGGCGCTGAGAGAGGTGGCTACCCAGGCCCTTTCAGTCCTCACACATGGCAACGAGCCGTGTGCCCTGTAAGTGACAGACGAGCATCCACATGACCACCTACCTCAGTCTTAAAACAGCTGCTCTCAGTTATAGACATGCAACAAATCAGTGCAAAGACTGCAATGCCATTTCAGCAGTGAATTACTAACCGCTTTACAAGAAAAGTGGGTGACTTTGTAACTATTTAGAATTTAAATAATGCCATTTTAGCCTACCTTTTTTAAAACATTTTTTTTTTACAATGAATACCTAATATAGTGTACCGACCTTTGTCCTTATGCGGTCCATTATCTCACTCTGACCTTTTCCTTCCATATATACATTTCTCAAAATGTTTCTGTTGAACTCTTTTCTTTTCTGTAAAACTTGGATGTACATGTGTCACAATGGTAGGTTGTGTGCCGATACTGGCACATTTGGTTACAAGTGTTAAGCTCACCAGCTCACCAATCTCACACCTATCTCTCTGATACCTTCCAGTGCAGTTTATGAGTCTGAGGGCCATGAGATCCTCATCCAGCAGCTGTGTGAAAGCTGCCCAAGGACAGTGGCCAGTTCTGCCGCCACTCTTTGCAACATGGTTGGACAAGAGATCATCCGATCTAGCATCTTATCACTTGGCATTATAGAGGCTCTAGTTGAACCGTTGAAGTCCACGCATACTCAGGTCCTGGTCAGCGCTACACTGTGTGTGGCAATGTTAGCTTGTGAAAAGGAAGCCAGGGAAAAGGTTTGTCTGTGTTGTGTGACCAATCACAATGCTTCATAGCTCTCATATCTTTTAGAAAATAATTTTATTAAACTTTGTGTTCGATTAACACCAAGGTATTGATCTTGGGTATTTTTGCTTTCATTGTTTTCTTGGAACATAACTTATAAAACAAATAACTAAAAATTGTAGTTAATTGTTCACTGTCAAACAATATTTCATGTCTAAACTGTACCCAACATTCACCTCGTGCATAGTTCCGAACAGCTGGAGGCCTTCAACCGCTAGTCACTCTTCTGCATTCCAATGACAAGGAGGTGCTGCACAACGCGTGCTTTGCAGTGAATGTTTGTGCGAGCCATTCACCCAGTGCTGTGGACATGTGCCAATATGGGTAAAATACAATTTTTTAATAAACCTACCATTATTGAATAACTGCTATTTGATTAGATAAAGTAATTAAGAAGTACCTTTGTGTAAAAGTACAGTGCAACAAATTGCTGCAACAATCTCTGTGGTATAGGTCTAAAACAGCCTTCAGATGGCAGTATTGGGTAACAAGTCTTTAACATGACAGAGTAGTTGTGGTTCATGTGAGTGTCTGTTTCATCACCAGCATCTAAATATCTGTTTTTACTTGTATGCTACTTGTGTTTGTATCTCAGAGCCTTGGAAATACTTCAAGAAATCAGCCAGTCAGTGAATCGAAGGAACAATTTCAGCGAGTTGGCCATGACCAGCCTGCTAAACTCCAACTTATCTGCTAAATACAGCATGACAGGACATTTGTCCCCAACTGACATTATCACCAGCATCTTCTACGATCCTGGGAAGGTTTGTAAGTTACTGAGTTTATTGAAGTGTAGAAAATTTTCTTGTGGATATGCAGTGTTGAATTTTGATGTTTATAACCTAAGAAATAAGCATAAAAACAGCATAATCGCTCTAATTTCCACATTTTTTCTTTTTTTTCGTGAGTTTCACAGGTGCAAAAAACAACAACCACCCATACAATGTTAGTGTTGGGATGAATGAGCTGCTTGGTTTCGTTGCCCTCTGAGATTCAATGTTATTTTTATATTTAGCAAATGCTCTGTAAGACCTCTCTTGATCTCTGTCTCACAGGCTCGTTTAGGTAAGAGGATTCTAACTTTAGAAGAACTGATCCAACAGCCACTCAACCAGCATCGAGCCATTATTCTTGTCAGCGCAACTACAATGTAAGTATTCAACATCACAGCACGAGTTCATGGATTATATAGATTTATCTAAAATGAAGAATGCAAAAAAAAATTAAAAGGGTTTATTATTATGGTATACTGTTTGGAGTAAAAAAATTAAATGAGAAACAAGATACAGTTTAGGTAATAAACTAAATATTATAACCTTTCAATAGCAATTTATTTTCCAACTGCAGGATCTTGTCTCCCTCCCCCTGTCTGCTCCAATCCAGTGCTCTTTTGCTCTTTTTTTTCCTTTTCTTTCTTTTCCTTTTTCCTTCTTTGCTTTCAGAGTGCCCCATTTGTGTGGCCTCCTTGGGTAAACGATCCCCTTTTTATGATGTCAGCACACTGAAACCCTACATGTCCTCTCACATTGAGTTCTAAACCATGTCTAAAGAATATGGGAATGGAATGCCAGAAGATGCTCTGTAAAGTGGAAGCATGCAGACACATGCATTTCCATGAAAACACCCATACATGCAAACTGCCTGATTTAATAAAAGTGAGTCATGCACTTCAAAAACACTTGGACAACAAAAGAAAGCTGTTCCCCCTCAGGGTACCCCACGTCCACTCTTTTTCACCGTGCCCCCTTTAGGATGCATGTACATAGAACCTCTCAGGCATTCTTAAGCAGCATAGCATGTTACATAATCTGTGGTCAATTCTGTGGTGTTACATGACTCAAGCCTAAATTTCAAATGCAAAAATGCCTCTTACCACAATAAGATTTTTTTTCTTGCTGCCGTGCCTTGCTGAACTACAGAAGTTTTCCAATCCAGGAATATCTTGGTTAAAAAAGAACATACCATATTGTTGAATTTGTTGTTTCAAATAAGGTATGATTGTGTATGATTTTAAACGGAAAAGGTTGTGTGTTTACATGGAGTATCGATATAAAATTAACATTTTACAAAAACTGGGAAAATACTCAATAAGAAAAGAGAAAGCTTTTTTATAGTTAACTTAAGATGAGGTCCTGTTTTTTTGTGGCACAGAGAGACAAGAGGTGCAGCAGAAGAGAGGCGAGGCAGCCGATCAGAAGCAGACACCAGCAACAAAAAAGACAGAAAGACACCAAGGTGAGAATTTCTGACTATATGGTGTGTGAAGGCACAACACTGACTTGATGTTGAGTTGTTCAGTGGTTTATCAAGTCCCCCTCTGCTTGAAAAAAAAGCTAACACAATCACCAAAAGTAACAAAAATGCACTTGTTTCCTTGTACAGAAAGAAGAAAGAAGAGGACAAACAGAGAGATGAAAGTCAGTCTGAGTCTCAAATTGTGAGACCACAGAACATGAATGAGGATGTCTCTTTGCAGATGTTTATTAAAGAGGCCAGGGAATCTATTCTCCTTATCGACAATGAACAAGAGCAATGTGCTACCCTTGCCAGGTGACAAATAAATGTGAAATGTGCTTGACATATTTTTAAAAATCTACATTTCCAAAGTCATGGAAGCTAACTAAGACACAAAAATTGAAATGCTGACATTCAAAGCCAATCTGAACGTCTGCAGTGATGGATTTCTGTTGTGGATGGCAGGTTAGTGAGTGAAGCCATGGGCGGAGCAGTGCCAGTGGAAAAGCTGTATGAGTTCTCATGGACGCTGCACCTCAGTCAGCTCAAGTTTCAGCTCAAGTCTAATGTTGTTCCCATTGGTTTGATCAGAAAGGGGATCTACTGCCACAGAGCCCTTCTATTCAAGGTACCACTGTACTATCAACATATCATGTTTCAGACATGTCCAAATTTTGAACCCCATCTGACATGTCTTATTGTTCCTTTCTTTAAAGATATTTGCCTATTTCTCAAGTTTTCATATGTATACTTAATTCAGTTGATCCAAATCATCACATCATGTGGTCTCCTCTTAAACATTTTTACCTTTTAGTGTCTTGCTGACTGCATAGCATTGCCCTGCTCTCTGGTTAGAGGGGAATACAACCGGGCTTGGAACGAGGTTCTTCTCTTCAGTCATGACAACAGTCGGAGTCCGTCACAGCCCAGACGCTTCATAGTGGATCTCATGCACCAGCCCGGGAACTTGTTGGCTGTCAACACCCCTGCGGCTTTGCAGTATCAGAGTATTTAGGCTTTTGTTGTCTCATGTGTATGAATGAATTTCATTGCCTACTATACATGTTGGTTATATGACAGTACTTCTAAGCACAGAATAAAGAATGATTTGCATGCAGCTGTGGACTATTTTCATGCATGCAGAAGCCAAATGTAATGGTAACTGTCCCTGAAGGTTTGTTTATTAGACAGATCTAATTTTATTTTATGATATCAAACAAAAGCCAAATGTCTGTCTGAGCTGCTGTTTTGATATATATTCCACTTTGTCCACAGACCTTTCTGTTTAAAAAAAGTTTTAAAGTACCTCATAAATTACATTTAGTCTTCTCTCAAATAGGCTATCTTCCTCGATCGTAAGGCCCGCGAGCTGTGCATTGATAGTATAATGCTCTTTGAACATTTTCTTGCAATAAAAAAGTCTGCTTACTTTGACCTGTCTCGCTGGGAGGGTGATTTTTGACCCGGAGGACCAGCGCGAACCCGCCGCAGCGCGAGCGAACCCGACGCAGCGCGAGCGCCCGGCCGCGCGCTTATCTGCGCTGCACTTGACTCCGGGACACACTTTTGACAAACATGTCGCGTTTCGCTGCTCGCCTCCTCGCTGTTTCTCAGCACGCCACGCTGAGATCGGCCGTGACCACCGGCAGCAGGATCCCGCAGCTGCTCCGCTCCCTGTCCACCTCAGCAGGTATCTGTGGACCTACTTTTTTATTCCTCCTCCTGTGGATGAGGAGCCTTGCACCTCTTCTGCGTTGCATCTGTATTCTGGGTGTTTAGGGATTTTTTCTTTCGTTTGTTGCTTCTGGTCAATGCAGGTGTTAAAATACTGTGGCAATCAGGGGGACGAGGCACGGTGGTTTGACTTGGATTAGGATTTGAGCAGTAATTTGAAATGCTTCAAAATATTTATGCACAGGGATATCTATTTTTATAAGATTGAAAAATTGATTTTGGGTTTAACACAACTCCAAGTCATCTCATTTGTAACATATTCTCTAATTATTTGTAGTATGCAACTTAATGTCTTCCAAGGAAGCAGACCTTAACATGAAAGCATGTTTAATGATTTACCAGTGCACAATTAGCTTTATGTTCTCCTTACCATGTAATAATTCCATGGGGTATGAAATATGTACAATCTGTGACCTTTTAATTGTGCAGGCCTACAGTCTCTCACGCGGTATAACAAGACTACAGACTGGCAAAAGAAACTGACCCCAGAGCAGTATGTAGTCACCAGAGAGAAGGGAACCGAGGAGGTGAGTCTGATATATGAACACTAAAAGGTCTTATTTTTCCCTTTATGTCTGTGAACTGTTGGGATTTGTTTAGATTAATAGAAGTGAAACACTGGTGGGGTGAGTTTGTGAAACCAGCACGTACCTGATGAGACCGACATACGTTTTATCTCAGTACGACTGGTGGACTTTGATCAGCACTTCACTGCTGGCCTCTTTCAGCCTCATCAAGTTCACTAACAGTCCTTTGGGGTGCGTGAGTGGCCTCCATGCCACCAGAGACATGCCTGTGACATAGAGAAATACGACAAATAAGGACAGGACACTTTTTTTGCTCTCTAAAAACAAACAAACAAACACAGAGCCAGTAAGACAGTCACTGAGCTGAGTTCTGCTGTTCCAGCCTTTCAGTGGGATCTATCTAAAGCACTTTGAGGTCGGAATGTACCACTGCGTCTGCTGTGAGGTGCCACTATTCAGGTAACCCTTTTCTGCATGTCATTTCTGCATTGTGTGGATTAGATGGCAGTCCTCCCCAAACAATGTAAATTAAAAAATTCAGTTACAAGTAATGTGAATGGACGCTCACCATGGGGATTTCCTGTCCTGTCTTTAAAGTTCAGAGGCTAAGTACGACTCGGGGACAGGTTGGCCAGCTTTCAAAGAAGCTCACGGGACATGGGAGCGTGATGAGAGCCACGCCTCCATCATTCGTCGCCCTGACAACAGCCTCGGGAGTGCTGGGACTGAGGTTCTTTGTAAAAATGTAAGTTGTTGTTTGAGTTTTAGAGCCAAAGTTCTGTTCTTTTGGGGTTGATAATTGGGGCAGTTATGAGACCTTTGTGAATTTCTTTCTTTCTTTCTTTCTTTCTTTCTTTCTTTCTTTCTTTCTTTCTTTCTTTCTTTCTTTCTTTCTTTCTTTCTATTTTTTATTTTTTACAAAAGATCACACAAGAATCAAACATTTGTATTCTGTTCATGCTTATGATTTCATGCATAACCTTCTTAAAAAAATCAATTTAAAAACTCACTTGTTTTTGCCACGCAGTGTGATGCCCACCTTGGCCATGTTTTTGAAGATGGACCGGACCCAACAGGTCAGCGGTTCTGTATCAACAGTGCAGCCCTCAACTTTAAACCCAGAGAAAACGGCATACCTAATGAGGATGAGCAGAAATGACGGACTTGTTTTAGCTGGTCAAAAACCGGAGCAGGCATTTTGAAGAATGGTTGAATTTTCTTAAGAAGAGGGAGGCCTTCTATGACTCTGTGAGTACTTAGTTGTTTAGCATCAATGGGAAACTATAACAGGATAAAAAAGAAGGTGCAACAACTGTTGAATGAAAGACATGCAGTATGTATCCTGTTTTTACTAATGTTTGCCATTTCTCCAGTAACAACATAATAAACTGAATAAATTCTTATATGTCTGAAATATGCTTACAGACCCATTATTTCTGACCTATTATTTATGAAACAGGTACCACGGACATTTTTATGGTTGCATTATTTTTCTTTTCAATTGCCCAAAGAAAGCTTTATCCTTAAAATAGAAAGATAGCATATCCTTATCTGGTTTATCTGTTTGAGGACTGGGGATACCTGTTTGATTTAATCAGTACATTCAAATTTAGCCTGTTCTCAGGGTCCATGATTACAATGAAACTGGTATTTTATGAGCAGATTTTGCTGCCCTCTGTAGTTTATCAACAGTATATCAGACTGGCCAATGTTTTACCAGTAAACCAAGTTAAATTTTAACCAAACAGACCATCCCCTGTTTCTTACTGTTGCACTACTGCCCTCTGTCACCATATGATCTGGGACTCTCTGTTGAAGTTGAGTAAAACAGATAAGGAATAGAGAGAGACATAGGAGGACAGAAAAGACAGAGATAACGTAAGTATTGTTTTGGGGAAAAAAGGGATAATTAAGGACAGGAGAGGAAAAGTGTTTTCTGACAAGAAGAGGGACTCTTGGGTGTGTAACAGGCGTTGAGATGTCTGGAACAAGTCGTTGCATGCTGGTGGTGGTGGTGTTGGTGTGCGTGTGTCTCTTGGGTCCCGCCGAGGCCTTAGGGGGGGCCAAGAGTCGTCCACGACCTCAAAGGCGACCTAAAAAGCCAAAGACTGAACCTGTCGACAAGACCCCACCTGCTCAGAACATAAACATAGATCAGGTAAGATACTGGAGAGTGAAACAGATAATTCCATAACCCAAGTCCCAGAAAAAGAACATGTGAATTAAAAATGAAAGGCAAGGATTTGGAAATCATTTAAAACTAATGCCTACCCAAAGCACAGAAGATTATGTATCAAATATGTGAACTACACAACTGCCAACTGTACATTTGTCTTCCATATAAACTTTTAAAGAATCCAACTTATTTGGGACTCGGCACGTAGGCGTATTTTTAAAAGATTTTCATTCAAAGCAGGAACTGTCCAGGCAGCAGGTCTCAGCTGCCGCACAGCAAACATTGCAGCGTGCCGTTATCTGACCTTTGCACGCTGACAGTGATTATGTCTCTCTTATATACCATATTTTCTCAAAATCACACACATGTAACATTACAGAGGACAGCTAAACAAATCCTGACACGATCAGATACCTTAAATCAATACAAACTCAATAAAACAGACAAGTAATTTAACTGAAGAGGTAAATAAATGAGAAGCACTATTATTTACTGACCCAAGCACAGTGCTATAGATTGTTTACAATTCCCTTTATTTGTAAATTCATAAGAGGAAAGCATTCAGGAACACAAAGCAAAACTACAACTAAGTGATTAAAAAAAATGCATTAGTGTGTTGGCTATCCATCTGAATACTCTTGTGTAACCTTGTCAATATTCAATTGAGGCAACATTGGGATTTTTCAGGGAAATTGCATTGGACAAAGGGCAAAGAAGTTAAGCACAACATTTGAAACAGATGTGTGCGTTATTTGTTTGCGAAGCCAGGCCTCTCACATGTTACCATATGCCCTTAGTGAAATAAAAAAATCTGAATTTGTTATACTGTGGCAGGATAAAACAAGCCGTGCCTCGTGTAATTTATAGACAATGCTGATAGAAAAAAAAAAAGATCATGCCTGTGTTGTAACTGCTTTCTTCTTCATCTATTTGCTTGATCTTACGCATTTCAGATGGCAGGGAAATGGTACCTCATTAACACCGCCTCCAAATGCCCTCTCATGTTAAAACAAGCCACCAGCATGGAACCAACTGTGATGACCCTCACCCGCCTCTCTGACCAAACCCTGTCCGTCAGTACTAAAACACGGCAGTAAGTACATCGGTCAGTACGCGCAGTGCATAAAGCCCAGTGTGGATCTTTTTTGCGTCAATTTGTCAGCAGAGGGAGCAATGGCTTGGATCCACTGACGATTTCATATCACAACAATATGTCACTGAGTTTGTTTGTATAGTTTTTAAAAGGAAGGAGTGGGAACAGAACAGTTAAATCCACCAGCTTACCTCTCATCCATTCCAACTCCAGTTGAGAGGAGAGGAAGAGATGCCATGAAAGGAGAAGAAAGTGTTTGTGTTCTAATGAATTACTAGTGAAAGGGCGTCTCTTTTCTGCTCAGTAACCATCAGTGTTGGGAGATATTACAGGTCTACCACCAAACTCCCACCACAGGACGACTAGTTCTGAAAGGTCAGTTTGTTCTCATTAGCATCCTGCTCACCAACAGTGGAAAACAGCTTTGCTGACTCTGCTTTCTGCTCTTCCCACCAGGTCGTAATCCTGATCTGGACACAGTCGTAGTAATTGGAGAATCAGACTACAGCTCCTATGCTATCCTGTTCTACCAAAAACGAGGAGAAGTCACAGTGAAACTCTACAGTAAGCTCCCTAAGGCATGTGTACATGTTGATATTGAATTTGGAGGCACTCCGGTGTAAAATATACTGTTGTGTTTTGTTTTTTTGCACCCGTGCAGCACGTTCACCTGACAATCTGCCAGAGCCAGTGCTGGTCAAGTTTGAGCAAGTTTCTGAGAAGCATGGTTTGGGCCTGGCCTATGTCTTTGGATTGCCCACCTACAGTGAGTTCATCAGTGCTTTAAAGATAGACGAACACACACACACTTATGTCTGAGTATAATCCGTTTCAGTGTAACACAGTGGCACAGCCCTGATCACTAATTTACCACTTTAAGTCACAGCATCACACAAAATCAATTACTTGTCTTTGTTGACTTTTTTTATTTTTTATCTTTCTAGGTCATTGTGGGGATGTGGACAAGGACCATGTAATCAGTAAGCTCACTTTGCTGTTTTATAAAACTGAAATAGAAAAAAGGATGATTAGATCAAAGAGTCAGAGAGGGGGAGGGAGACTGTTTCCTGTTTTATATTAGCTTGTAATAGTTTGGTATCAGTCTAAATCACTGATGAGAAAGAGCCTTTTATTTAGTGAACGCTGAAATACATTTTCTCCCAAGCACAAGTCTAGTTTTGGTTTCCAGCTGTTAACAGTGGTTTAAAAATGTCATATATGAAGCATGTTTGCAGGTCACAGGTCGCACTTTTTCAAATTGCACATACTCTCTCTCTTTCTCTCTCTCCCTCTCTCTGTCTGTCACACACACGCACAAGGAAAAATGCCCTAAGCAAATTGAGCAATCTGCAACTAATTTAAAGTTTGTACACCCAAACAGTTTGGTCTTTCCATATAAGGCTGTCAGTGCTCTGCAAGTCTTGAGCTGTTTGCCATCACAGCTCTTTCCCTGCTCCTCGAACCATTGTTGGTTTTGAAATGTTCCAGTCTTTAGAGGTTGCATGCATATGACTGGATCCATTGTTCCCTCTGTCAGTAACTATGCTGGTGACCACTGCAGTGTCTGCTAAATCTCCTTAGAGGTGTCTAATGCCTTGATTTTACTTTCAAGAAATCTTTCGAGGAGTTCATCCAACTTTTCCAGGTCTTAGCCCCAACTTGAACGAACTATCATTTCGTAATTACTCTCCTACTAAAAGACAAATATGAAGTGACCCAAAAATGTTTATCATTTACCGTCTCACCACTGTTTATTTCTCCTTAACACAAGCTATCTGTTCAGAACTTATCTGATCAACCCATGTCTGCCAATTCTAGGGAGAGGTTTGGAAAAGTCAGTGTTTTAAAGAAAGTCCTTGACATCTGTATCATTTTGTCTTTCTTTCCCATGAAACAAGCCAGACAAAAGACACCTTGAAATAGATCTGAATGTGACAACTACTAGTGTCCTGTCACGATGTCATTTTGATTTAATGTTGAAAATGATGAGCAAAGTTGAATTCTACATGTCCACCCATGTCTTTGATACCACTGTTTATCCCACGGTGGGAGGGACGAGGAAAGTTCTCCTCACGTTTCCCCCCTGAGGCCGGGCATGTGTTCCACACAACTTATGAAACAAACAGTTTTTCGAAACCTTGTCTTCAGCGTGTTATCCAACCTCCACGGGCTGCTGAGAGCTTCTGCAGAGGTCCTGTGTAATGTTATGTGTGGCTTGTTTCACAGAGTGCATCCCCACGTGCTGAAGAGGAGGGGCCACTGGCCACTCCGAGGGAGCAGAAAAAGACCGAAGCCCCCCCTTAAGTGGCGTCTTGTTGTGCAATGTCACCACCTCCGTGTAAAAATAAACACGCTCTCTATACTCTGTGTTGTTTCTTCTGATTGATACCATTCATTATCCACAGATTACTTAGAAATAATAAGAATATAACTATTCTGACAAGGTTTAACTTCTGGCCTGCATGCGACTGCATGCTCGCCTCTGTGTGTGTCTGTGTGTGGGTGTGTGTGTGTGTGTGTGTGTGGGTGTGTGTGTTGGTGCTGGAGATAATAAAGCCCAGAATTCCCAAAAGGGTTTAGAGAATTTGGTTTTAAAGTGTGGTCAGGAAAATGTGTTTTAACACTACTCCTCACTCTGCCCAGCACCTCTTTGGTTGTGTGTGTGTGTGTGTGTGTGTGGGTGTGTGTGTGAGTATGTTATATAACCATCTGACTGCAAGTCAGTGCCTGTGCAGTCCCTGACAAAGGGAGCTCTGATTCAGCACATTTCTATAAATCTTCATTCTATACATAAAATGCCGCGTAGATTTAGGCTAGAACAAGTTTAAGGGAAATAATCTTTTAATTAAAGCATAAATCCACCGTTTAAAAAGCAAGTGAATCAGTATTGTGAAATAAATCATCTGAGGGGAGTTAGTTTTTTGCAGAGCTGCAGAATTTTTCTGCTTAATTCATCTGTTACATCACTTAGGGGATCACTGACAAAGAAAGAAAGAAAATCACCGTGATCTTAAGAAAACATCAGAATGAAATGCTAGAAAAGTTCGACAGGGGCAATAGATTGTCCAGCACTTCTGACCAAGGGAATTTGACTTTTGGTTTCACATGTCAACCAATTCAGTCTTTAATTTTCATTTTCTGTGGTCCATCTGATCTTTTGTGCTCGGCTGGCTCTGCAGAAACTTCTTGCCCTTACCAAACAGTCAGTCGATCCCTGAGCGTTTGTGATGAGTGGGGGTCGAAGGGGAGGGCTGATAAAAGAACCCCATTCTTTTCTTTCCACCTCTCCCTTCTCCATTCACACGTGCTGGTTGTGTAACAGCATTGATTTGCATTCCGTTGGGAAGGATCCAGATAGTTTTTGTAACACACGGGCCAGAGGAAGGTGGGGTAAAGAAAGGAGGGAGGAGGATGCCTTGGCAGCATATAAGGAGCCCCGACTGTCCCACCACCGCTCCATTCCTCTGACACCCCTGATCACTTCTTCCGAGAGAAGCCCTGAACAAAGAGTAACCATGAGGACCGCTCTGCTGAGACTGCTGGCCGCCCTGGCCTGCGTGCTGGCCGCATGCGCTGAAGTCATGCCTGTGAAAGACTTCAGTCTGGAAAAGGTAAGAAACCATTGCGAAATTTTATGAGGGGCTTTAGGGAATAACAGAAAAGTAGAAAAACAGGGGTGATGTCACCCGAGTGCATTCTTTAGACGGTGAGCAGAGAGAGGAATTCTCATCCCCCTCCTGTTTTTTTTGTTTGTTTTTGTTTTGTTTAGATGGCAGGCAAGTGGTACATGGTTGGCTTTGCCACCAACGCAGTGTGGTTCGTGAATCACAAGGATTCCATGAAGTCAGGCATAGCCATTGTGGTGCCAACTGAAGGAGGAGACATGGATCTGTCTTATTCCAACCTGAAGTAAGCAGCTTACCCAAAATCAAGCCACGAAACTAAAACGACTTAAGATGCTAGTCGGTGAAAGTAAATGTTTTGGCCTCCTCCTTTCTGTGCAGTGCTGATGGGTCCTGCTGGAGAATGACTCACCTGGCCAAGAAAACCGACACTCCAGGACGCTTCACCTTCCGCAGCCAGGGTGAGTGGAAAACCACAAGCACACACAAAACAGAGAGATAAAGATGTAAATTTACCAATCGCCTCTTTTCAATTCTCAGCCTGGAACAATGACAACGACATGCGCATTATTGATGTCGTCTACAATGACTACGCCATCGTCCACACCATCAAGACAAAGGAGGGCTCGTCCGAGGTCCTGAACAAGCTTTACAGTAAGTCCCTTTCATTGCACGAGCCTGATGGGGAGTGTTCCGTAACGGGCGGGGACTTTGGAAAGGCTGATTGTGTCCGTGCTGCACTTAACAGGTCGCACTCCTGAGACCAGCGCCGTCCTGCAGCAGGCCTTCACCCAGTTCTCTCTGGAAACCGGCATCCTTCCCGAAAACATTGCTATCCTGCCAAAGAACGGTAATTTAGTAGACATCGGCATCCCCCCCACAGCTGCTTTGTGTTCGAGTCGCTGATATCTTTGTGTGCTTTTTTTTTTCACAGCTGAATGTCCCGAGGCCTAAAGAGCCCCCTGCACAACAATCCCTCCATTCCACCTCTCCTCTGCTCTCCCCTCCTATCAAGTCCAGGGCTTTCATCTAAGAGGAGTCTTATCACTTCTCGTGCTATCTGCTCCGCCACAAGGCAACGCCAGAGACGACCAACCTGAAGCATTTCCCACTAACCAGCGCTGCACACCAAAGAGCAACTACAACATGTGTGTTAACAATGGCATTAGACTGGAACGATCAAAAGGGTTGATAGCGAGTCATTTAGGAAGGTAAACATGACTGTGAAAGCTATCAGTGTCTGTACTTTCTGAATTCTTTTTGTAATTTTTTTTTCATTTGTTAGAATAAAGTAAAAGCCAATAAAATCATTAAAACGATCCAACTGAGTTCAGGGTGATTCCATTTACGCTGTAATGAAAGACATGAAAAGAAGCAATATTGGTTAGAAAATTTCAATCAACCCTTCTAGGTCACATATTGATGCAGACTGCCCCCTATTGGTCACAATTTCAGCCTCAAATTACATAGAATATTCCATGTAATGACCAACAGCAATTGTGAAAAAATGAGGTTTTTGTAAATAAAATGTAAAGACGGGGCATGATGAAATGCAGCTTTTATTCAGTGTGCAGAGCTGCTTTAATGGGCTGGGCCTGAGCAGGCCTCATTTCAAGTGAAAAAGAGTACACAGATGTTAAGTTAGATTTTGATAAATGAATTCTTATGGACCGAAAAAAATAAAAACATGGGACAAAAGTTTCCACACAATTATTTGGCTTTTGTTTTCTTTTAGTAACTGTATTGTGTGCCCATATTCTTCACAAAAACAAGATTACATTTAGTTGAATATTCAAATCCATACGAAACATCCAGACTGGCACAACCCTATAAATGATCATTCATTCACCAACTGATGGAATATTAAACTCAGTCCTTGATCACGGTTGTTTCTGTCATAAGTGCCTTCCTCTTCATGATCTGCCATTTATTTTCAGTAGGATGTGGACTGCAAGCAGGTTGGAAGTTGTGAACTTGACTGAAATAGCCACCAATCTCTTCGGAAAAACACTGACTCAGAGTATTCCCCCCTGACACACAGATTTCTTTTTAGTCCATATGGCTCTGTTGATGAGGGTTTCTTATATAATGCTACCTGAGGGCTCAGAGCTTACAACCAATCATTGGTCCTTCTCTCTCTCCTTTGTTCCTATGCATTAAAGTGTTCCAAGATTCTCAACATCTCTAGATTATGTTATACTGTAGATGTTAAAGGTAAGTTTTTCTTGCAGTTTTACATTTAAAACTTCTTGAATTGATTAATGGTTCTCTGGCAAAGTTTGGAAAAACAGTTTTGTTAAATGCTAAATGTTACATGAAAGATACCTACTTTGAAATATTTCCAATAAACATTTTAAATGCATTATTTTGGACTTTTACATACCACATAAAACCTGTTGTCCGTTTATGGTGCTGCTTGTGTTTCACCGTCACGTATCAATTCCACCCCGCGTCCACAAGGGGGCAGCCTGTGAGCCGTCAAAGAGGTCTTCCTATTGTGTCAGAATTGCAAACAAATTGTAAGAGGAAACACAAGAAAAAGGAAAAAACAAGTCGGCCAAAGGTATACAGACAAGAACGTCATTTAATTAAGTAATTTAGGTAAAACTCTATGGTGGTGAGCAACTGGAGATTTGTGAGGGATTCCCACTGACTGACAGCTTCATCTCTTGACGTACTTCTCATCTATTTTTCTGAAATACTCGATTAAAAAACTAATTCGGGTTAAAAAAAGAAACAGTGGCATGTCAGTATCCCAACTCAGATTAACAGCACATCATTGTGTAAATGAAGGGTCCATAAAAACACAGACTTTACTGATCAAACACTCTTTATTGAACGCAATAGAACTTAAAAGCCAAAAATACCAGTTGTGGTTTAGTTTGTTGTGTTGTTGATGATGAGCCGTTATCATCGCTGCTGAAACCACATTTCAGTTGAATGTATCTGTGCGTACACGTACATGTGGAGACTGAGTAAAACTAAATCAAGGTCATGAATAGGGTTCCTCCTTAGCCTGAATGTGATGCGAGAACAGAAAAAATGTTCTTTGAGGCCTTCATAGGTGGCAGGCTGAACACATCAGCTGCGTTTAAAACGATCAACATATAACACACAACGATGGCTATGATGAACAAAAAATTTTTGTCATATGAGAGCTGCTGGAACAAACTGAAATAAAAGGCATAATTCACAACAAAACCACATAGTTGGCAGCTCATTTTAACCGTAACACAGGAACAGGTAAACATAACAGAGGAAAAGATGGTGAGAGAAGAGAAGTTGTGTATCATTTGAATGCGTGTTGGACAACAGCGTCCAGTCTGCGCCTCCTCGTTCTAAACATATCGTTCTTGGAGCTGATGGTCTTGACTCATGCTATATCAAACGTGCGCATTTGTGTTGGTGTGCGCGCATCACAGAGGGTAGGTGTAAACTTCTCGAGTGTTGAGTAGGTCTCTCGCACGTCTACACAGCTGCTCCTGCCACGTAAAACCCCGCCCAGCTACCACAGCAGAGACTCAACCACACTGACGACTAAAGAAAGAGAAAAAATCAACTTGTTTTTGTTCCTTTTTAAAAAAATGCACTCTGAATTCAGAAATAAGTTTCGATGACTTTTTGAAAATGAAAAGCACCATTCAAAACAGGAAGCGTGACAACACCTGGAAAGAATCCATGCAGCAAAAAGTCAAGTTTTCTTCGCGATGGGTTTGAGTTGAGTCGTGTGGGCCGAGGCGACGTGGCTCAACACCTTCAAGGCACAGTGGATTCGTAAGCCAATTATCCTCTTCGCTTTATTCCAGATGTTGTTCAGATCAAACTGGTTTCTGTCACCTCTTATAGCACGGAGCAAAGCGCGTCGACGAAACTCATTTAATTCGAGCCGAGTTGTTGGATCTGATCTGTGTGACTGCTCAAGCTGCCTCCACTGACACTCGCGGACGACTTTTGACCTACAAACTGATGCGTGCGCACGCTCTGAACGTCAGCCTAGCATGTGAAGAAACGGTGAACCTCCAAGAAGCCCAAAAAGCCAAACATTTAACGTAATAATAATGGAAATAAGACTTGAGTGTTTGGCAAAAAAAACAAACTGACCGCCCACGTCTGAAGAAGTCAAGGCTCCTTCTGAATAATAAAAAAGCTGCCATGATGACACGCTTAAACCAATCCTGCTGTGTCATTATTTACCAACTCGCTCTGAAAAATACTCTCTCTGTCCCTCGGCATTGGGGATCCCATCCCATACAATCGAATGTCATGAGACTTAAACATAAAACTCTGTATTTCACACTTATATAATATAATGGACGAATATCACTGTAATATAGATATGACATTTTCATTCATGTTTGGATTCTAAATAAATCTTTTAAGAAAAAGAGAAAGCAACTAAAGGTAGTGTATTTACAAAAGAGACTTTTGGCATCCTTTTTAAACTCTGTCACCACGATATGCAGCGCTTCATTCAACAGAGATGAATGTTAACAGACAGGTGCAACCACAGCTTAGAAAAACGAAACAAAACAAGTTTGGCATGTCGATTTGATCATTTTTTGATATAAGACCTTTGTTAAAATATAAAATCATAAAGCAACAGGGACTGGCCATAAATCTTTGCTATCACACCACCCAGTAAGTGTAATTATTTGTCATGTACAGTATTCAAAGGACTCCTGAAAACTCCCAAGCACGATACAAAGAAAGACAAGCTGGTTAGTATATACATGTAAAATTTCTTACATTTGTGCTCCAATGAAAATGAAAGTGCCCCCCCCTCTTCTCGTTTTAATCCTCTGAATAGAAAAACAAAACAAAACAAAAAAGAAAACTATTTCTGTACACATCTTTCCAACATACCGCCTCCTCTGAGGAATTTAGGGTCCTTCGATTAGCCAATCCTGTTTCTCTCCAGTATTTAGTCTTTTGATTCAACCCCCATCCGTTTGTGTGGAGTGATGGTCTCACAAACTGTTGCCTTGCTCAGAGTCCCATCATTGGCTGTTAGATGAACCACTCTTTCTTTGATTCGTCAATGGTTTCGGGGTTGTCCGTGCCTATGATGGCCGTGTCTGCTGACTCCGTGGCCGACTCGCCGCCGCCCTTGGCCTCGTTGGTGTGGTACGTGCCTTTGTGGCGGAACATGTAGCGGATCAGGAACACCAGCGTGCATAGAATGGTGAAGATCACGACTGCAATGATGCCTGCAGGAGAGACGGACATCAGTGTTATTGCAGAGTTTCATTTCCTGTTTCAGTCAGGGACACTATAGGCAAACACATGGAGTGGAAAACTGGCTGAAGTCGGGTTGGAAATAAGTAAGCCCCCGTATTTGAAATTACAGCAGAGATTAATATGACTTCAACTGGGAGAAAAATCATTTTCAATAAGCTATTACAAGATAAAGCCTATTATTCCTTGAACAACATGGCTGACACATCGAACGAATGAAAAATGTAAACGCTTTCTGTTTCTAAGGACTTTTTCCTACCATCCAAAAACATGCATTTTAGCTAAACCGACTGAATGAGGAAAGGTCATGTGCTCTGTTGAGTTCAGATTAAGTCTCAGAGTTTCAAAATTCAGAGACATTAAGAGTAATTTCAGTCGTAGATGAAGGGCTACACACCTGCCAGTGGGGACAGTCTAACGACAAAACATTGGAACCAAATAAATGTTTGACAGTGCAGAAGTTAATCCAAACAAGGTGATGCTGAACGGGTGCTGTTCTCAGGAACGGTGCTAAAACAGTGCATGTGTTTTTGTTGTGGCAAGGCTGTAAATTTATTTAATTCATTATTCATTTTCCAACAGGCACTAATAAAAAGGTGGAGGGAGGAGGTGAAGACACAGAGACCAAAGGGACACATCACAGCCAGGAGTTTATGAACTCCATCCTTTATGGTAACTACTCCTAATGTTGGACACAGCTGACAGTATCTGCACATCCCAAAGGTCATGAGGATCATTTGTACCTCCAATGATGGCCGAGTCCCTGTTGACTCCATCTGGAATGACTCTCTCCTCATTGAAGGGGAATTCTGCATCTGATGATAAAAGAAAAGTGAACATGCTGACTAGTGTATAAAAAATTCAGCTCATTTACAGACATTAGTGAACTGTTGGCTGCTCCTGCTGACTGTAGCCTGCGCAGCTCCCCTAAGAAATAAAAACGCCTGAGTAAGAATCAGAAGAGGATGCTAAAGGGAGAAACAGAAAATAATAAAACCGGGAGGTTTTATGATTAGATTTATCATTATGTTCTGCCATCTACAAAACATGTCAAATATAATGATCTGAAGACACAGAATGAGGATGAAAAAGCACGAGGGCTTCGAGAAAAGAAAATCTATCGCAAATCATAGAACAATCTTTTTAAATGAGAAGCTGGAGGAAGGTCTTGGTGAAGTATTGATTTTGTCTATAGAAAATCCAGATCAAAAGTACTGATAAATGGGCCGACTCTGCCAAAAAGCCGCTGTTGGCTCATGGTGGAAATAAAACTGCAGGTGCAAAGAAATCAACATGAAAAAACGCTGATGTGACGTGTAACTTCATGCAGTGTGTTTGTACAACATCTCTCCTAAAAATAAAGGGTTTGAAGATTTAACAGTGAAGGAGGGGCCGACAGGAGCCCCTTGAGGATATTTTGGGCAGGACCCACCTGTGTTGTCCAGATGCCAGGGGTCTGTTGCTGCAGACATTGGTGGGATGGTGAGTGGAGACGCCCCACAGTTCGACGGAACCAACTTTCCCCGGTAGGAAACGGGCGAGGCTGCGGCGGGCTCGGCGTCGGAGGGAGGGGCCGTGGGCGTGGACGCGGGCTGTGTGGATGTCCTCAGAGCAGACTTGAGGGGGGCGACTTCGTTGAACCTCACCCGCGAGAGACACCCGACAAAACCTGGGGTGTTGTACCGCTCAATCAGGACGGGGTCGACGTGGCCAGTTTCTACACAGAGACACAGAATTGGAAGGACACTCTTTGAATTAATATAATAGACGCAGTTATTATTCAATCACACCGGAAAACGCTGCCATCTCATGTGGAGGCAAGCCAATATGCTTAAAAGATTCAGAGAGAAGGCGCATAGAGAAAAGAGAGCTTCATAGTCCGAGCATCTGCATTTAAAGTCACAGAATCAGCACTTCCTATCTAAAACACACACACTACACTTTGTTGCAACGCTCAGGTTTGGCACACACACTTTGCTGATGAAATGCTTCACAAATTCAAAATTCACATTGAGAGTGTGATTCAACACAAGTTCAGAATTAGCATAAGAAGAACAAAAATACCGAAACCTAATGTCTCAGATGAATAATGCATCATCGCCTACGGCTCTCTCACTGTACTATGTCTCTTCCCTTTGCTGTTTTTTAAAAATAGTCTGTCTGGTTCAGTAGCACCGTAAGTGGGTTCCATCCGCATTCTGCAACAAGGACTGCTTGAAATGTAGCTTAGCTGACTCTTGTGGCTTGAATATACACTATATTGCCAAAAGTATTTGCTCACCCATCCAAATTATCGGAATCAGGTGTTCCAATCACTTCCATGGCCACAGGTGTATAAATTCAAGCACCTAGGCATGCAGACTGTTTTTACAAACATTTGTGAAAGAATGGGTCGCTCTCAGGAGCTCAGTGAATTCCAGCGTGGAACTGTGATAGGATGCCACCTGTGCAACAAATCCAGTCGTGAAATTTCCTCGCTCCTAAATATTCCACAGTCAACTGTCAGCTGTATTATAAGAAAATGGAAGTGTTTGGGAATGACAGCAACTCAGCCACGAAGTGGTAGGCCACGTAAACTGACGGAGCGGGGTCAGCGGATGCTGACGCGCATAGTGCGAAGAGGTCGCCAACTTTCTGCAGAGTCAATCACTACAGACCTCCAAACTTCATGTGGCCTTCAGATTAGCTCAAGAACAGTGCGCAGAGAGCTTCATGGAATGGGTTTCCATGGTCGAGCAGCTGCATCCAAGCCATACATCACCAAGTGCAATGCAAAGCGTCGGATGCGGTGGTGTAAAGCACGCCGCCACTGGACTCTAGAGCAGTGGAGACGCGTTCTCTGGAGTGACGAATCGCGCTTCTCCATCTGGCAATCTGATGGACGGGTCTGGGTTTGGCGGTTGCCAGGAGAACGGTACTTGTCTGACTGCATTGTGCCAAGTGTAAAGTTTGGTGGAGGGGGGATTATGGTGTGGGGTTGTTTTTCAGGAGCTGGGCTTGGCCCCTTAGTTCCAGTGAAAGGAACTCTGAATGCTTCAGCATACCAAGACATTTTGGACAATTCCATGCTCCCAACTTTGTGGGAACAGTTTGGAGCTGGCCCCTTCCTCTTCCAACATGACTGTGCACCAGTGCACAAAGCAAGGTCCATAAAGACATGGATGACAGAGTCTGGTGTGGATGAACTTGACTGGCCTGCACAGAGTCCTGACCTCAACCCGATAGAACACCTTTGGGATGAATTAGAGCGGAGACTGAGAGCCAGGCCTTCTCGTCCAACATCAGTGTGCGACCTCACAAATGCGCTTCTGGAAGAATGGTCAAAAATTCCCATAAACACACTCCTAAACCTTGTGGACAGCCTTCCCAGAAGAGTTGAAGCTGTTCTAGCTGCAAAGGGTGGACCGACGTCATATTGAACCCTATGGATTAGGAACGGGATGTCACTTAAGCTCATATGTGAGTCAAGGCAGGTGAGCAAATACTTTTGGCAATATAGTGTATCTCCTCTTTTACTTACGACATTTGGAAAACATTTAAAAACAAACAAACACAACATTAGAGTTTATTCATTTGATTTCATATTAGTTTTACAGACTGCTCTAACTTGAATATTTTCACATGTATATAGTACATTTTTCAATGCTGATATGGAGAACAAAAGGAAAAAATGCTTGTTACTAATAGCTGTTTTACCCCCTGCTATCTGCTTAACATCTGACAGAAATACCTCCAGATAAAAGCATAATTTGGGTTGCAGGCGAAAGACCTCAGATCCACTTATGGCCATGCCATGCCATGGCAAAACAGACAAATTCAGATGTGCCTGTTCAGAGGCAAGAACTGTGCACTTATATCTCTGCCTCACAGCTTCTCTCCTCCCTCAAAGGAAATGACTTTAGACATCATGACGTCTGCTAGCTTGCTCAGCTTGCTCCAGACTGTCCCGGATCTCCTTCGATTCTTGGATTATTTGATCGTTTTGCAGGGAACACACAGCATATTTCCCAGAGTTGATAAATATAGATTTTTTGTTGCCTAAGAGTTATATGAACTGCAATGGGGCACTTGTAACTCCCTCCAGAGGTTAAAATAACATCCACTCTATGTTTAATCATATCCACAATCTCCATTCTAATACACAAAAATGGAATTTCGTCCTTTGTATCCAGGCTTCAGTTGTCTTAAGGAACAGCTGTTTAATAAGAGTCTGTGTTTGTACAATCTGAGGTTCTTAAAAAAGCCACTGATGCAACTGAAACCGATAAACTTGCATATTACATCAAAGGAGAGGCAGAATTTCAGTATAGTTGTATAAGCTTAATTAGGTTTCTGCAACATAAAGATCACAAACACATATATTGGACTTCAAAGAAAATGTGACCCAAGATAAACTGCAGATAGAAAACACCACGGTAAAGAGATAAAACAAACATCCTCAGGCGTCAAACGTCACTCTGGCTAAAACCTGGAACGGTTCTGAAAGATTTAGCATCTACAGAGATGCAAAGTACAAAGCTCTTTCTTGATATGTGTGTGTGGACAGGTCCAGGTTTGAATTTGAACATTCACAGCTGCTCTGCTGTTGCATGACTGCACCACACCCACAGGAACATATCTGGCCAATCCTTAACCAAAACATATATTAAAAATAAGAGTGCTCCCAGTTTATTTGATAAATCTGGTTATGTTCAGGGATAAGATTGTGATGATCTGTACATGGTTTATAATGTAAATTTTTCTCTTTATTCCATTTTCTGTCCAACTAGAGCATGTGTCCATGTGTATGTTAGTACACTATTGACTGTGCTGCAAAGAGCCTTCGCATTCATCACGTCATAGATGTCCAACAGATGTTTTTAATGTCTGTGCAGTCTACTCCCCACTGCATTTGTGAACATTTAGTTACACATAATGCATTGCTTATTCAATGCACAACATTGAACGCTTGCCTAAAGCAACACTGACTGAACTGAGGGGTTACTCTCTCCAAAAAAAGAGAAAAACATAACCTCTGTTTGACGCCCGACATCTTGAAAATGTATGCACGATGTCAACGAGCAGCTCTGAATTTACATAAGAGTGGGGGTGCAGGACAGGGAGGAGAGGGCAGACGAGCACATGAAGGAGGAAAACAACTGCCTGAAGGCATTACAGTAGACAAAATAAGCAGATTACAGATTACAGAAGTCTTATGAGTACGGAATGTGGGTCTGTCTGCCCTGTAAGCGTGAACATGTGTTGAATATTGCAGAGGCCTCTGTCTGAATACTAATGGGCTCTCTGCTGGGTGAATAAGAGGCTGCTTTGCATACAATGCCATATTCAATGCACATAGCAAATAACTGACGAGCAGCCTGAGGAAAGCAACGTGCTTTAAAGTAACATTCCTCATAAATATCAGATGGTTTGTATCAGCAGTTGATCCTGACAAAAGACAATAGGGATTTTGATGCTGTCAGTTCCACTAAAACAAAAGAAAGAACAAATGCTGGACAGAATGAGGCTATACAAACACCTGCATGGCATAATTCTACTCACTGAATATACCCTGCAGAAATACGATATTTGAAAAGGTTGACTTCATCAGTATGCACTGGGACTGTATGTGGATAAAGAATAGAAAGCTTTGAATTAACCAGAGTGCGAACCACCTAAAATAAGCACCAAAAAACTGCCAATAAACTCAAGCAAATGCACAATATTCTAAAATTACTAGACCTTAGAAAAAACTTTATAGGATATTTAGTCATCTCACTGTGCTTAACAACACAATAATGCATGACAGGACCACAAATTGATGTAATGGCTTGTAATTTATTTTATTACTTGCTTTAGTGGAGTCTTAAGAGGTTTCTAGACTTATCAATAAAATATGAGCAAATTCACAAGCCAACAGCTCTTTACCACACCCTACTCATAATTGGAAAAATAAAGACACTCATCCATTTGACGTGAGATGAAATAAGGAAACGAACCAGAAAGGATACTCTGGTTAATCTACTTTGACAAAACAAACACGCACAGTCAAAACAGCAACAAGGTCGGCGTGTTGACGAGAGGGAGAGCGCTCACAGCGTGTCACTGATGTGGCAATGTCACATGAATTATTCAAAAACGCAGTCCTGGAGGAAAGAGAATGGGTGTGTATCTTTTGGGGGAGAGATGGAGGGCGGTGGGCCTGCATGAGTTTGATTTAAAAAAAAAGGGAGGAAAGGTGGGGAGAGCTAGCGGAGAGGGAGGGTGTGGTGGACGAGGAACTGTCTGTGAGTGGGAAGGTGTGGGAAAGATAAGAGGAAATGATGAGAAAGGCAAGGCTAAAATGTGTGTGTGTGTGTGTGAGTGTAAATGAGTGTGTGTCAAAAGAGTAACAAGAAGGGGTGTTCAGGAGTGGAGATCAAACACAGTTTCCATGGCGACAAATGTTAACTGAAGGAGGGGTGAGAGAAATAGAAGAGAGGGTGGTGACGGTTGGACGGTAATGAAAGTATGATGCATTTGAGATGCATGAAAAGAATATTAATGTGAGTCCATTCACCAATTTGTATTTGAAAAGCAAGACGAACACACACACAGTATGTGGCTGCTGCTCTTGGAAAAGCTCAGAAAGCGGAAGGCGAACTGATTACCATTAAATTTAGCAGGAATTAAATGAAAATTTACCCAAAATGCAAATATATATATTTTTCTATTAATGCTTTTAACTCGGAGCATATAGCCATACACCCTTTACACCCAATTTTGATCATGAGAGATGTGACGCATGGTCTGATAATATCTTGCAGTTTGAAATTCTGGGCCTCACACACCGTAGAATTGGCCTGTGAATGTGTCTTTATTCACCTATTCACAGTACTTCTTATAGAGGCCAATGTGTGGGCTCAGAGTCTCGTCCAAGAACACAAGAGGAAGCTTTAGATCATCTTACCAGTTTTCAGATTGGAAGTCACGACTTAACTACTTGAGCCACAGCTAAAGTGATAAAACAAGTCCTTAACCTGAGCTCCACAGAACTGAACTTTAGTGAATAGATATGTACCAGGAGAAGAAACAGAAGGCGTTGAACTAAGCTAAAACCCAAAGAAGAACCGTGAAAAAGACTGTAAGACATTTTAAATACATTTGGGTTTGCAACATCCACCCATACTGAACACAGAGTCACACGTGCGCATGCACAGGTGTGTCCACCAGAACCACCTTCAGCATCCTCCTTTATCAGGATGTGAAACTGTACGTAAGCACACAGGCATGTAAATAGACAGGGAATAGCAGGAAATATTGCACACTGTGAGTGCAGATTTTGGGCTTTTGGGCACGCACGCACGCACACACAAACAGACACACATGCACCGGGGGGTCTGAATAATTTCTCTGCCATCCAGTTAATGAAGCATTTGAATAGCCCGGAAAACGTAAAAAAGGAATGGAAGTAACACACTATTTTAGGCTGCAGATTTTCAGGTGTAATTACGGTGAAATGACTCACACTGACCTACAGGAACACTGGCACACACATGCAGACGCACTCACACAAACACGTCTAAAGCATAGTTACCAGTGGGGGGATTCTGTCTGCAAACCGCTGGTGAAGCAAACCTTCCTCCTCCCTTCTTTCACACGTTCTTCCTCTCTGTTAGGTGGATCTTTTTTAAAACAGCACCACTCTGACAAGCATCTTTCCCTCTCTGTGTTTTTTCTACCTCCCTCTGTCCTTCCCTCTTTCTCTGCAGTGCAGTCCCACCCCCACTCCAACACAGCAGCTGGAGAAAACCTGGATTCTGGACCAGACTACTAAGGATCAGGATTCCCCAGTCTGAAGTCCAAAGAAGGGTGATGGCCTGGGAATGACAGCATGATGTCATTGTTTCATCCACAGACACTTGTACCAACTCACACACATCAAACCATCTCGGTTTAAAAAGCAACACTGAGATTATAGAGGGGATAAAATCCAATTAGAGAGGCAATGTTTGGAGACAGATAAGATTGAAAAAAAAACTAGTCTGTGATATCAGCCTGATCTAACACCGGGGTTCATTGGTGTTTTAATCAGAGTCAGGATGTTTTTCCTCTGGATGCAAAGGTCACAACACAAAAGGCCACCGCGACAGGCTCCCTCGTGGAAGAAAATAGTTAAAACCTGATAGCGACATGCTTTTGAAAACACTCTGCAGTATAAATCGATTTGGGCTAAAAAGAATCAAAACACTCGATTCCTCTCTGCGTAGGTGCCTGCTGGATCCTAAAGCCTCCCTCTGCACACGAAGAGTCCAGAGAAAGTTAATTAAACTGCCTGTCACCGTTTTTTCATGATTCAGTTAAGGCACGCACACATAATCATAAAAATGCTAGGACAATGCAAAATTCCACACTGCTTTTGAAATACGACTAATTTCATTTGGATCATGTTTCAGTAGAACTGGGTCTGGGACAGGTTGAACTAAATGACAAATGTGGAAGATTCCGGGTGCTGTCACACAGCAACTGAAACGGTCATGCTCTCTTTACTATCTGTTCATGTCAGCCAAGGCCTCATAAAGGTGCCTGTAAAAGGCAATGCCAACAAGAAACAGGAAGGATAATATACCCACATGAGCATTTCTGCATCAGAACAGGTGTCATTCTTATATCTTTGGGATAAAGTATTTGGATGGCAGAGTTCGTTAAGCCCAGATCTTTACCCATGGGCTTCTGTCTGACAAGTGACTTAATTTTAGTCACTTTTTCAGTTCCTTATTGGGATCATGCTTTAATAATGCTTTGGTATGACTAGAAAAGACTAATATCTAATGTAAAAACAAAACAAAACAATAACAACAGCATGATTTTTCTACAATTCATGATGTCACGATCATAAAAACAAAGTAAAAGTATTCTAAAAGTATTCCTTCCACAACCAACCAACCACAAAAGCTTACACCTGATCACAGGGCCAACTTAGTTTGACAAGCTCCAGTTTGCTCTATCAGTACAGATGATCTGAACATTGAAAAAGTAAAGTTTAACTTTTACTGTTTAAAATGAGTGAAAAATATGCACTTTTGTTTTAAGCTGTTGAATGACAAAATGACTTGAATGGTGTGATCTGAATGATGTTCAATTGGAACTTAATAATGGTATGACAGTGAATTACAATGTCCCTTTGATGAGCCTCTAGATGACATGTCTTTTTAATTCAGCAATACATAAACTTGCCTGAACGTAAAGAAAACTTAGGGGAGAATAGTTCATTAACGCCACATATTCCAAAAAACAGCTTTGAATTAAAAAAATAAAAGCTCCACTGACTCACTTCACCTCATCAAAGAGCTTTACAGTACAAAAACAGGAGACAGTATCGAGACAAAAGTATATGAAAAGCTCTTAACTTGTGAAGAAATAATTCAGAGCGCTGTTACACCCCCTCAGAGCTCCTCGCTTGCCTCAGCTTTCAGGCCTTGGAGGATTGAGCCTGTGTAAAATAACTGGCAGCAGCCGCAGGGCGTGACACGTTAAATGCGTGTGGACAGAGGCACCGGGGGAGGAAAAGCAAAGGAGAATAAAAGAAGCGGGAGAGAAAATCAAAATTTCAGTGGGGCACTGATGTACGCTTCATTTACAACCAACCCTCAAGGTTACTATGATGTGTTTCTGATGGCCCTTCCACGGTGCCACCATTACGATCATCCTGCCTCTGCCTCTTCATCTATTCCACACACACTCTGACACCTTTCTGCACTCAGACTGGACAGATTTGCGGCGCAGAGTGCAGGGATGGGAGCATGTCTACAGCCGAGGCTGATTTATGACTCACCTCCGTCTATTCCACCGACTGCAGAGATTTAGGACCCTACACACACTACATCGGCCAGAAAACCAAACACACTCACACACAAACACTGCAGGCCTGCAGCGTGCTCACAAATATCAACGCAGATGTGAGGATAAAGTTACCCACACATGAACAAAAATAGAAGGCGTATATAGTCTGAGCTGAATCGTTCCTGCTTTTATGATCAATAGCACTTGAGGTCAAAAACACTTCTGCAAATGTCAGCACTCAGGCTCTGGCATACGAACATGGGAAGTTACAATAAAAAGAACCTGGGGACAGCTCAGCCTCCTTTTATCCATATTTTGTGTAATTTATTTATCTCTCCTCAGCTTTAAAAAAGATAAAGATGGTATAAATCTGTCAAATACATAAAATCCCTGTCTAAATTAAAACAAACTAAGATTTAATAATCAAACTTCAATTGAATAATTAAGCGAATTGTAAAACGATGGAAATACTGTATTTTAATAGTTTAATAGTTATTCATGGTCCTTGTTGTCTATCAAGAGGCAAAAAGGTAAAAAATGTGATCATAAGTTGAGCAGAGAGCTTATGTCTCTAGTTTGTGAGCAGATATTTCTGGTGTAGAATTTTGTGAAGCTCGTTGGTATATATACACTACTACCGTGTTTGGCTAACATGCATCTGTCTTTTTGCTTCATCCATTGTTATTCAAGCCTCCAATGCCATCACACAGTCAGTGAGGAGACAGAAGAGATGTCACTGTGATCGCTGTGTGTGTGTGTGAGTGTGTGTGTGTACTGTACCAAACACAGGCTCCCTTTCACCCAGAAATAGAGAATCTGATTGCTGACCTGTCTGACAGTCTCTCTTGTCTTTGTGGTTCAAACACGGAAAGGAAACAGATCTGACGAGATTAGTAAATGCCAGCAATTGTTCTCCCTGCTTTCTTCCTCTGTCTCCATCTTTCTCCAGCTTCAGTATCCTATTTATCAATGGAATGATCTTTTGTTTTTTTTCTTTATACATCGTTTTAAAAAAATCAACATCCTGAAATTGGTCTGTGACTCTTTACCACTGATTAAACACATAAATAAAGCTGGACAATTCTGAGATGGAAGTGACTTTGGTCTGTTTTTAAAGCGCATGCGCGGTGTTGTCAGAGCAAAGATGGACGATTGCATTTTCCTGTGTATGCTTGTTGACGTGGTCATGCGTGCATGTGCAATGCGTATTCCCTGTGGTATATGTGCAGTGAGCGGCAGTCGATAGTTCTCAGCCATTACTTCACCCTAAATGGCGCACCACTTGAGGTAAAGGGCAAAAAAGACAAGAAAAAAGGGGAATGGAATGGAGGAGGGAACTAGTCATAAAAAACCCACATCATATGAGGCAGATGTTGTTACAGTTAACACCAAGATAATCTGAATTTATTCTAATCTTAATAAAGTTTATCTTATCTTATCTGATCTTCTCTAAACAGGCTCTGTTTAGCAACCAGAATGACTGATGGCTTTTGTGTAATCCTGCTGACAAACATAGATACCTGTAATAATATTCTTTCAATACCTTAACAGCTAAGCCTTATCTGTGTGTTTCTGTGGATGTTTCGCAAATTTCAGTCAGTCGAAACGCTTGCAAAGGTAATTGGTTGATCAATGCATGAAGATCAAAGGAAAAAGCTTCCTCTCTTTTGCTCTAATAGCTACCTTAATTGCTCTGGATTAGCAGGTCCTGATGGAATCTATATATACATTATGATGCTCGTCCAAGATGAAATGTCTAGTCTAGCATTATTGGACCAAATGATTAATAAAATACCACAATTATGTTTCGGTTTGATGGTTATATGAGAAAAACTACTCTGTACCGCACCAATTTATTTCTAGTGGACAAATGATCAAGTATGTGCATTTGAAATTAATTCTCAAAAGGGTTGAATAGAATGTATAGAACAGAAATAAAAAAAATAATATAAAAAACTTGAAGGAACTGGGGACAAAGAAATGAAAAACAGATAACACACTCACCAAAGACTTTGCCTAAGAACAACGTCTTGACCAAGTTGAACTGTGTGTCTGCTGCATCTGGAAGGTGGTAGCTGACTGGAGGGTAATGATCCAACTGAAAAGAAAAAGGGGGGCAGAGAGTGGTGAGAGTTCAAAGATGGTCGATAGAGCTTAAAACTTCCGCTCACAGCCTTTGAGAAAGGCCCAAACAAAGACCTGCATCAGCATATTTAGCAGATCACATAAGCAGATGATTAAAAGAGGGTAATTCTGTCATTTCATGCAATGGACAGCAAAGGACCAGCACAAAGCACAGCACAATGGCTCCCCCCTGTGGTTACTAGCACTTTGAAAGAGAGAAAAAAAAGAGACAATTTTAGAGGATGGAAATAGAAAATGAGATTTTAAGTTATGAAATGTCAACATAGCCTCGCAGCAAGGAGTTTAGTTTGTGGGTTTTAAAATGGAATCCCTGCATGGAGCTGCATATTTCCCTCGTGCCTGATTCGGTGCTCCAGTTTTCTCCCAGAGAGCAGAGACACACACAGCAGATTAATAGTTGATTTCAAACTGTAGGAGAGGGTTTGAAGATTGGTTGTCTGTCTCTCTTTATGAGCCACGTCCTGAAGCTCCAGTCCCTGCAGCCCTCTGCAGAACAGCGCTTGGACATAATGAGCCAAGTAATAAGTAATGGATATATGGGAGGAAAATGTCACTTTTTTGAAAGGAATAGAAAAGAAAGTTTCATGATTCATGAGAAATAACAAAGAGGGGATTAATTATAGCAGGAATGATGATTTAGTCCTGGGCCCCTGTATGCAGCCCATGCACTGGCATCAATATCACAAATCTCTGGAGATCTATAGGAAGAAAATTAGGGTTAATAATAACAGCAGGTGTCGTGCTAGTTATAGTGGTGAAAATTATGTCTGAGGCGTTCAGTTCATTTGTAATCTAATGACTGTGATGATGGTGGTTCAATACCAGCACTTCTGTAGGTTTAAAAGTTTTGGAAATGACCCTTTTTTGACGCGGCTGCTAAAGTTCACTTCAGAGTTAATTAAAATCCAAGATAATCAGTGACAGGATCATGAGATAATTTCCCTTACATGGGCAAAAGATGTTCCCTTAGATCAAAGCTCTGATGAGAAATGCCGTTCTCACCACAAAGATGAGACATCTTGAATTTGTCACTCGGATATGGATGTTAATTAATCCTAAAGCTTTTAAGAGATTGGGAACACTGCTCATGAAGGCCATAGAGAATCTTAATTTGCAAAAAAAAGGAGCTATTATCTTAAACAAAATCTGTTAATCTTTTCTATGCTGCAAACCTAAAGGATCTCTTCACAAACAAAGACTTTAAACTATGGTGTCTCATAGAAGTGATTAACAAGATTAAGAAGTGAGAGGGTAACTAAGCGACCAAAAAGATCCTACTTTAAATAAAACTTTTCTTTTATTGTAGTTATGGCAAAAACAAATTGACAACATGATTTAAAAAAAAAAAGATTGCGTTGATCAAAAGAAGGAGAGAAAAAGCTCCCTTTTTCCAATATGGATTATCAGAAGAGATGTGAGAGCGGAGAGGTGATGGAGGGAGGGAATACACGGCTTTAATATCCCTCCAAGATAATTAACTTGTTATTGCTGTTCCAATGAAGTTTCTAATTAGCTTGAAGGCTGCAGTCGGCGTGACTGACGAGAATAATTTAAACCACACAAATTGGTTTCTGCAAACCAGAAAAAAGGGTTATCCTTCTTTGCTTCTCTCTGCCCACACGATAACTGTATCTCAGCTCGCAAGAGTCTACAGAGAGCAAAGCGACAGGCAAAGCCAGAGGGGGGGGGCACTGTTTTAAAAAAAAAAAGCTTTTGCTTTTGTTGTCACTGGAAGTGTGGTCTTTGAATGTGCTGAAAAGCTGCCGCTTTGCTAGCTGGTAGCTGATCTGAGCTAAAGGGTGAGATTTATGTGAGGATGTCTGACTTGTTTACAGGATTGAAGAAGTAAATTTAGTAAATTCTGAACCCCCAACCCCTCTGCACTTTCCCCCCCTCACTTTTACTTCATTCATCCCCTCATCCATACACACCCAGCATATCCTGATGTGATTCCTTCCAAAAGCCAGGTCTCAGTGGAGCATTATGTGGCTTTTGTTCTCCACAGTGACTGGGTGGTGGGATAATGGGGCACAATTAAATTGCGCTCAGCTTATTTACTTTGATCTGACAGAACAAATTGGCTGCACAGCCAGGGAGGACTATTGGAATCTTAAAACATAAAGGTCCGCAGAGGACGACAAGTCAAGAGAAGCCTTATTTTGCAGAAGTGTTTCAACGTCTGCTATCATTAGGCTCCTCTTACTTTTGTGGCACAGCACACATTTCCCTTAATGTCACTTGGGATAAACAAAGCTAGCACAAACACAGAAATCCGTAACATTGTAATTGAGAGAAGAATATAAAAAACATAAATCAGAACAGGTCTGTAAACATTCAAATGAACTTCTATTGCAATGGGAATGTCCTACATTTGCCCCTTACTTAAGATAACTGACAAAAGCATAATAACTATCATATCGGAATTAACTCCAGACAAATAAGCTTTAAAGATGTGTTTTTCCTTGTTCAGCCTGAATACATATTTGTAATCATTGTAGATAAAAGCAAGCTTTCAGTGAGGCATCCATTCGCCCTCTGAACAGACCGCAACCACAACTGGTGCCAAGGTGTGGAGGAAACACCGATGAGGTTTCTGATGCCTGAGGCAGGATCTCATTTTCATCTCGGAGATGGTGAGATGGGGACTTATTTTAATCTTACCCTGGTGTGTCTGTGATAGAGAGCAAAACTGGTCAGGCCTTGCAGACTGCTCGAAAAAGCCAAACACTTCGCCGCACGCAGCATGAATGTTTACACATTTCAGCAGGTATTTAAACTTGCAAATGAGCCTTAAAGTAAGCCTCAGGACTGTCTCAACCTTTTACTCTCTCTCTATATTCCTGCATCAGATTTCCCTTGCTCTTGAATTCAAACTGCTGCATCACCACCTTTCCTCTGTCTGCATCACTAAACTAAAAAAATCGTTAAAATGTCAATTTGCCCTCCTGATTACAGACAGATAAACATAAACAGTGCACTTGTTTGTTTTTTTTTACCTAGGAAATTGAATTTGATAATCATGTAGCATTACTCCAGAATTACCAATCGATAATATATGGCACTCATTTTATGTTAATTGTTGGTGTGGATTCTTAGTCATCCAGGTAATTCTCCTACGAGCTTGGAAAGAGGCAACTGGACTCTAAGAACACGTCCAGGTGATTTTACTTAAGCTCTTAATAAAGCCACAGCTCTTTTAGGAGCTAGTTGATTGAGAGCTCAAGCACAGATGAGCAATGGGCCCACGGGAACTCTAGCACATGCACAGTGATTCTTCTCCATATATCTGCTGCCTTGCGGGTGACTCAGTATTTCTCACTGACCCTCACTGAAAAGAGGGGGAAGAAGAGGTGTGCCCACGGCTAAAAACAACGTGTTTCTGTTTCTCTTCAGAGGTGGCAATCCTCACGCACAGGGTATTTAAAAAAAGCTATACAGACATGTCAGTAGATTTGAAACAAGTTGGGGCTAAAAGGGTCTGAAAAGTCAGAGAAAGTCACCATGCTGGCAACAATGGCTGTGCCAAAATCAGCCAATTGGGGCACAACATTCGTTGTGACATAATCTCTATGTGAGAGATAAGAGTGAGAGCTGGAAGCAAAAAGTAATGCTGAGAAGAACAGAGGCTTGCTGGTGTAAAAGCTGCTCAAAGCTGCAATGTTTCCTGACAAAAATATGAGAAAACTGTGGGAATGTTAGAGGAAAAATAAAAAAAACAAACAAGCATCCACGAACTATTTATAATTAAATACACTCAGTTGGAATATGATCAGGATGAAAAGAAAAGCGAATTGGCCATTAACAAAGAGAAAATAGTAAAAGGCCTGCAGATGCCTGTTAGTGTCTGATTACGTGTGGAGTTTATGCGTGTGTTTATTTCTTGAAAAGGGCTCCGAGGCAGCAAAGAAACGTGAAAAAGTTGAATCAAAGTAATCTTTGTTGGCGCACCCTCTGGCTGCACTTTTCCTGCCCCTATCTATACACTCCATCTCTTTTTAATTCTGTATCTCTTCCCCACAGTCCTCTTGTTAATATTTAACCAAATTATCACACCATGCCCAGCAGTGTTCATCTTAATTCTTAACCTCCTTTATTCCTGTGTTGAAAGTCCTAAACTGTGAATGTATATTTAAATGAGCATCAATAATAATGATCTGGACTAAGCTAAGATGCAATGCACTAGTGAAAGGTACTTTGTGCATATTAATATATGTGTGCAGTGTGTCCAGTCCCTGGTTGTAGCAGGAAAATAGTTGGGTTAGTCTAAAGTAAACTTAGAGGGATGAGCAGCAGCAAATGGATGTCACTTGCCCGGAAAACAAGTATGATTTCCATTGATTGTTTCAGTTTAATTTTCTTGCTGTCAGCATTATTCCCTGTGGCATGGGACTCCAGTTAATGGGATTCCAGGACAGATGGGGCCATTGCCGGGCAAATCTCAAAAGTCAGAGAGAGAATTTGAATATTCACAATGCAGACGAAGAGGTGGAAGGATAGCACAAGTAAAAGAGTGGTGTGAATCATTCTAATCTGCATTTCATTTTGCAGCAAAAGAATAATAAGAACAAGAGAGGCTGACACTGCCCACCAGAGCCATAGAAGTCATGTTCAGAATGATCCTGCTCTTATAAAACACATCCGTCAAAACATATCCTTTCATTCTAATGGCCCAGGCATCCATTAGCAATCGCTTATACTTAATGTGTTATTTGAATTTTATGAATGCCCTTTTTCACAGTTAGTTTTGAGTTACACTTGTTCTTTTCTTGGGGTCTGGGCTTGTCAAGTTTTAGTGTTCTGTGTTTTCTTTTGTTAGTTTTGCTGAATTGAATTCGGTTTACTACCAGACTGATCCATGTCTATACAGTATTTGTGTCTTTCTCTCATCTCCACCAACTTCCTCTGCAAGGAAGACTAATGATGATGAATAGAAACCTTAAAAAAATGTTTTTTAAGATAAAATAAAAAATAAACTATTTTAAACGAGCATATATCCTTAGAGAAAATGTGTGCAATGACCAAAGATGATCAGGAATATTGTCCTATCATTATCTTCTTGCTAATAATCATGATCACTGGATCACAGAAAAATATCTTGCCTGCAAAAGAACAGAATACTGGACATTTGCTATTCTGCGTATTGCATTTTTAAAAAGGTGACAAGAAATAGAAAACAGCTCTAATATTTCCGCTTATCACACTGCAGCACTTATAAAAAAACAAGAGAAAACAGCAGAAAGAATCTTTTGCAGAGTGATGACTTACTGCTCTCAATAACAGGATTGGAAAGCATAACTAATAGTGTGTTAATTAGTTAAGCCACATTGTGACTGCCTTCATTTATGACTTTGAAGAAGATCAGATTTTTTCGGTAGTCTCTTTTATATAAAAATCACATTCATACCAGGAATACAATGGTAGTGTGGAAAAGAAGCGTAATTTGTAGTTATTGAGAGATTAAATCAAACGAATAACACAGGTAGTGTTTAAAACATCTATGAACTGTTATTCTATTAACAGGTTTTCTATTAGTTCCTATGTGTTTAGTCAAAATTCCACATTGCAGCTCTAAACCTGCTCAGCCGTGTGCAGTTAGGTCAGAGTATCTCCAAGATGATGAAATGTCTAATTCTAGCCAGTAGGGGGCATATGATTCACGAGGGAAAAAATTGTAATTTACTCAGTTACCAGATGTTGCTCACAAGATAAGTAAAAATGAGTTCAATATGACATGCCTGAAAGGATAGAGTGAAGCATAGAAATGACAAGAATGACTGACCTGCATTCAGCTGCGCATCTTTACAGAATATCAAAATCAAAATCGATTAACATCAAAATAACAACGCATATGCAAACATGCATCACTCAGACTCACAAATATATGTCACGCAAATGTATAAGATGTTGTCACTGACGAGGTGTATCACGCAAGCGCACACTATTAGATATCTGCACACAAGCCCGATTGCACAAAGTCCAAATGAAACACAAACATACTGATTACAAAACACAGGCTGAATTGAATCTCTGCCACTGAACGTGGGCTGTCTACAGAGAGTAGATTAACAGTGGAAAAGGACAAGTTGTTTCATCACAGCAGAAGACAGAAAAGGGTACCCTGATGTATTGCAGTCAGGCCGGACGTTTGAGATTGGGGTGTGCAGAGTGTGTGTTTTTACATGTGTCTGCAGCTGGATGAGAAAAATCTTGCACTCCTGGACTGTAAAATCTTTGGATTGAAGCTTTAGTCTTGCTCCGAGAAAAAAACAAAAGCTTGAAATTGCATGTGGTCAGATGCATGTGTGTGTGTGTGTGTTTAGTCCATACCTGGATGGTGATGCTCCTGTTGTGACGGGACATGTTAATGCTGTGAGGCTGTCCATTGGCCAGGTTCCGCTGATCCACATCTATTGCAAACGGCTCCTTCAGACCACCCAGGTTGTAGCGCACCTGCAGGGAACCTGAGGACACACAGGACATTTTGGAAACTTCAAAAAGAAATTCCCAATAATCTCACTGGGCCTTGAGTCAACATTTTGAGGTCTATTTTTTGCTATATTATTTACATCAAGTCCTGAAACAATGCATTTTGATAGTTCCCATCCTGTTGGAGTATCAATAATCTGATTTTTGGGAAAATAAAGAAGCTTTCATTCGACAGCCTTTACTGCACTACAAAGTGTATCCACTAGTCTTACCATTATGTCTCAGCACCACAGCCAGAGAGTCTTCTGTCTTGGAGCTCACATACATGAGAATGGCTGGAGCGCTGGATGTGCTGAAACTGAAGGCCACCTCTTCCTTGGTTAGATTCACTTCACGGGGTGCCATCTGTTGAGTCGCAGCTTTTGCGTCCCTACTGGCCCCCGCGACTGCCTCAGGCATGAAGTTATACTTGACTAGTGTCCCTGCCTCGAAGAAACCCCCAATATCTGGGCGAGATGACAGGAAAAAATAAACAAAATGAGTTCGCATTTATGGGATAAGCACAAACACAAATACAGTAAACCCCGGCGCGTGTAAAAGTGTCAATAAGAAAATCAACGAGGGAGAGATTCGAAACAGAAAACAAGGTATCTGACATCACAGAGAACCACTCACAATCTCGTACATGTACAGACACATCTGGTTAAACATAATATATAGCCTGAGGGGAATAATCACACATAAATATGACTGCAGAAGGTGCAGTAAAGTGGGTGTTAAATTGCTGTGCTCCAGCATCTGAGTGCAAACAATACACCATTTACCAGTACATTAACAAACCTAATGGCATATTTCAACCATTCCAGGGGGCTTATTGATTCTCATAATCAAATACTGAGAAGAGGCAACCTTATTTTTCTTTAACCTACGTCGGTTGAGCTCCTTGTTGATGTGTGTATTTGAAAAAAATGCGCCTTGCCTGTGTGTCAGCATATGAAGACATAAATAGCATGAAATTAAAGAGACGGGTTACAGGGAAAGCAGAAAGATTCAGGCATTGTGTGCAATCGTGAATATGCCATGAATATACTTGAATGTGTTTTCCTTCGCATTCAAGAAAACAGAATTGCAAGTGAACACATTTATATACCTTTTAGAATGCTCCACTTCACCTTTTGCATCCCACTGGAACGGACTGATAAATACTTTGTGCAACATTACTTACATTTAATAGAAGAGTTATTGATTACAAGAACTGCTAAAGGGCTCTGACTTATTTGGTGTAACAGATAAAATGTCACCTGCATTTAAGGACACCACAAATTCTCCCCTGACTTAAGAGTCAGCAGTGAGGAGACACACAATTCATCAACTGTTTGTATATATCAGAGAAAGACTTTGTTTTTTAACTCTGGCTGTCATCGTTCATGTTTTTAGAGCTCTATCACCTGGATAGTCGCACAACCACCGAGGCTGATTTTGATATTATGCAGTTTTAAGACATATCATAGTGCTTTTGAAGTTTCAGTGGTTCTCCACTAATGGTTGCAAAGTTTTATTTAGGCTTCCTCAGTCTTGCTGGTGCCCTTTCTTAAAAAAGCTGAGCATATCTATGTTTAGCTTTTTTATTTATTCTTTTTTTTTGTACAATTCTGACTTTAGATTAAAGCTTTGTGGCTTGTATGCAACCTATCTCTGTGTTTGCCCTGCTGGGGTAATCCAAACTGCTGCCCAAAGCTTCAGTTGCAAAAATGTTTTGGAAGCAGGAGAGGAAATGGTAAAAAAGAAGAAAGCAGCAGAGGCACAACTCTTCATGTGTGTGTGTGACTTTTGTGTCTGCGACTGAAGATGTTTAAAGGGAATTCTTTCATACCTGCATAAGTGAACAAATTTGGGATGTTTGTATGTGTGCACACTGATGCCATGTGACCCTCAAGGGCAGAAAAGCGAAAGAATGGGGTTGTATAATAATAACAACACTATAGGGTCCCCTGAGCAGAGAGCACAAATGGATACAATGGAAACGTTCTATTCAATTAAGGCTAGCTTCATGCATTTTTCACTCACTTGGAGGATGGGGTGAAAGAATCGAAATGGAAAGAGACACACTAGACAAGAAAAGATAAGAAAAAAACAACCAAGTCTGTGAAGTTAGTGAGACAAAAAAAATCTAGGAGAAAGTTTAAAAAGTAGGGGACATTTTGGAAAAAAGAGTTACACTAAAGCAAGACAAAGAGGGAAACGAAACAAAGAAAACCAGTGAATTTTGCAGACAGATCGGAAGAGAGGGACCACACTGAAAGGGAAAGTCACGTGTCATGCACGAGAACAAACAGACACAAGGGTGTGCTCTCTCCCTTTCTTCAACTTTCAGAGAGACAGACAGTCCCCGGCGCGCACACAGACTCACACTTGCTCATCACTCTCATAGAAACACAAGGCTAATCTTTATTCTTTTAATCCTGGAATGGCTGATTGGTTATGACAGAATTCAGAGGAGGTCTTTTCATGTGTTAGACTAGCGTATCACCACACATTCATCCTTTAGCGCGGCGTGCGCACGCGCATGTGCACACGCACGCGCCAACACAAAGATGCAGACTGCTGTTCTGTCATCTTGTCCCCCCCCCCTGCCATGATCGCAGAGGAAAAACACCATTCAACTTTAGGAAACAAATTAATTCATATGTCGGGGAGCAACACTCTGACTGGGAGCCAGCAGACTGCCTCTGACAGCCGCGCTGCTCCTCTCCCAGGAGTATTTTGTGAAAAACTTGTTATGGAGGCAGAACTTTAATAGAGTATCTAATGAATCCCTATGAAACAAACGTGATGTTTCAGTTATATGAAGTGCAGAAGCAGAGATGCACTCTAACATATTTTGCTTAAAGATCTTCAAAAACCCCACACAGACTAACTTCTCTTAAACTAACTCACTTTGATTTGGTCATTTTAGCTCCATCCCACAGTCCCCCTTTGCACAATATCTGCATTCAGTGAATGCACTAAGTCTGGGAGAATTGCTCGGTAAGCACAATATCACTGTCAATCGATGCCTTTTATCACAACATTTTCACCACTGATGGCGCCAAAGTGAAAAGGAACTGTGGGCAATCATGAGGCGCAGAAAAGTGGGTTGTCAGGCAATGAAGCTCATTGAACTTAACTATCTGATCCAGGCACTATTTAACTCTGGATTGTGAACTGAAATGGGACTGCCAATGATCAAATGCTTTCACAAATAGGGCTGTAAAAGTGTTAGCTAAGGGTTCATGACTTGATTTATTATCCTGAAATGAGGAAGGAAATGTTGCTTTTACTGCTGCTTAATCCTGCAAGTGGGTGTAGAAGCGAGACAAAATCTACCATAAAAACAAAATGAAATCGGTACAGTCAGATCGTTCATGAAATTCAAATTTTTGAGCCGCAGAGCAGAATGTCTATGCTAAGAGGAGTTCATATTGTTATTTAAAAAAAAAATCTGATTAAAAATGGCTCTCTGAGCCTCTCACCTCTGGTGCAAAAAGGCCCGTCGTAGGCGGTGGCGGTGCAGTCGCACAAATAGCCGTTGTACCTCTCCACGCACTTCCCCCCGTTTCGACAGTACATCCCAAAGCTGGTGCAGTGGCCTTGGCAACCAGGTTTGACCCCAGGTGTCACTTTGGACCTTTCCTCCAGGTTAAGAGTGACGCCATTCATCTTTAAGGCTCGGATACAACCCAGAAAGCCCCTTTGTCCTCCTGCTGCACCTGTGGAGCGGCGGAGAGACGAAAAGGAAAAAAAAGAACAGGAGGACAAATGGAAGTCAGATTTATAGAAGTCATTCGCAATGCAAGAAGCTCTGTTTTGATCTCTTTTAGAAAAATCCAGATGCCTGAAGGGAGACTCTGATGTCATGCTAATTGTTCTGAGTGCGACTCTGTTCTTGAAGCAACCTTCAGCTTGTTTGATTTCTTCACTAATTACAATCACCTAATGAACGCTGTTTCTTAATGAACACCTCGCGAACATGAACATGCCAACGGACGTATGGGTGCATGTGAACCACATAATACGGGCAAACACATTTTAAACACACAACACATAGTGCACCTGATTTGAATGAGTCAATTTACGCAAATGGTTAGCCTTGTGGTGTCGATAGCCATTTTTCTAAAGTGCCTCCATCTTAATTTGGAATTGCACCATTACAGTCTAACTACCCATTAACTTGGACAAGATAGGGTTATTAAATAGATGAATGTTCACCGAAATGACTAAAGTGATAAACACACTTACAAACATACACCTACACGCATCGATTCACCTGTGTACAAGCACAACCACAGAAGACAGGGTACAGATAGACACACATGGAGGCAAACACACTGATGGGCACTATCATTATGAACAACACTGGGACACTTTAGTCATTAAAACCGCTAAACATCACACATGCTTCCTGGACCTATCAGATGGCTTAAACAGAAAGGATGCAGGAAAGACCTAATCACACGGTTAGAACATAAACGTAATAATATCACTGTCACCTGTAGTGCTGGACTTTGATTATTCAGAAATCAGGACGCAGGTGGGCTTTTACCTGATTTCTCTATTTTCCAGTCCCATACAGAATTAGATGCTTAGTGGACCTCTTAATTAATCTATTTTGTACCACTGATTGGCTGGAGGTTTCTGCCACCTGTTTACCCTGGGCTAAATCAGTCTCTGATTAAACAGACAGCAGGCTCCCAAGCCTGCAGAGACCAAAGTAGGCATGTACACATGAACAGGTGCACAAAGCTTCTGTAGAACTTACACCAAAACTCTCTTGACTAAAACGGAGAGTGACTAACATCAGCTCAGACTTGTTGTTTCATGCCATTTTGAAAATGAAATGTTGGATCACTTTTAGGACATTGCTTATAAATGAAGGTGATATATGAGAGAATGAGAATGAAAACGGTTTTGTAAAGGGTTCATTAATCTTGTAATCAAGTGTGAATCTTGGGTTCCAGACAAAAGACCTTACTGCACAATCTTGGCTCCGATGCTGCCTTGCACAGCACCAGGAGTCCCAGATCTAACAAGCTTGTTATTGACTTTGAAGAAAAGAAAGTGACTGCCCGTCAGGCCTTTTGAGGGTTTATAGAACAGCCGTGAATGATTTGAAATGAGCAATTTCACTGAAGGAGAATTATCTACAAGGGACAAAGATTTCAATCAACTGCCAACTTATCCAGGACTTGCCATCGAAACCCATTCAGTCCAAGAGTAGATGATCTGATAAAAAGAGAGGTCTCAAAAATCCCACGGCTTTCTGGCAGTATTAACTGCTGCAGCTGCCTTTACTGTCCAAACATGCAGACATACTGCGCATTGTAGACTGCGGATGATCAAATTAAGATTTCCGGTCATAGGCACAAATGATAGATAACCATTAAGAGTATTCCTGGATTCAAACCCCATAACAACTGTGAACATATCTGGGTTTGGAGTTGTGTTACAGCCTCAGAGATTGTGCAGATTAATTGATTCAATTATGAATTCGAAATTATGTCAAACAGTGGTAAAAAAAAAACAGTGCACGACCATCTGTCTGAAAACGGAGCTGGCTATTTTAACGGCACACAAATCAAACTAGGAACCTCTTTTTACAGACTTGGTTTGGATGGGGGGGCTGAGGCAGCCATGTTATTCATCATGTCTTCGGTGGAAATACAGACACAGAATGAGAAAGATGAAGTTAATCCACTGCTGATATGCCCCTGAGCTGTGAGGGATAAGAGACTATGTGAGAAATGGCATCACGGAACACACCACTGTAACCAACGCATCTGCTGTCACTGATTCTGCAACACCAGCTTGTCATGTGTAACCACACACTGATGTGGTAAGCAACCTCCCCATTTAATATTACTCAGTGTGGTTACAATTAAGTCAGGAGCAGTGGAAGATAAGAGGGAAGTATATATATATATTTTCCATCGTACAGTGCAACAACTGTGTGAAATGGTTGACTCAGACAGAGGAAATGGTTGTAAATATCAAAGCCATTGAAAATGTTGTGTTTAAACTGAGCAGACTATGAAATGAATACACAAACAAGTTCTTGAAAATAACAAATTTCACATCAATAATTGATTAAGCCTCTTCAGAGCCTGTTATAGAATTACAAGAAAAATATTTATTTCACAGAATTATGGCAAATAGATCCACTTCTACAAAAATAATGAATAAAGCGGCTTATTTGCAACTATATCACCTTTTATCTGTTTTAGATTTGTACTAAAGAAGGCTTCCCACTGACATACAGCTCCAAGTGTTATTGGATGTATCTATGTCAGCTAATCACACCAAGTTGGGCTTTATGTTTATCTTATTGTCAATAAATATATATACAAATAAAAAGTCCTATTTTAAGGTGAACATTTGTAGCCCGCCTTGGCCATAGATTTGATATTGTTCTTATTTCCAGGTTCATGGAACAGTATGTGTTCTATACACTTTTCATTGTGCTGATTGAATGGTACCTACTGTCTTGGCAGGAGAGCGCTGCTGGTTTCCCTGTGACAGGTGTCCCACACATGCCGTGAAGAGCAACAAGCAAGATGCCCATCCATGAAAAAAAGAGGCAAAGAAAACAAAAGGAAAAATATAAAAGGAAAAAAAAAACAATCAAACAAAGACAACATGAAGTAAAAACATGCAAAATCAAAAGATAAATGGGTTATTGAGATTTAATCAAGAAAAAAAGCATATGGTGACATAAAACTAATAAAACGTAAAAGATTTGCAGTAATGTGCATGTATGAAGTGAATTGGAAAGCTAAAAGTTAACAGTGTGAAGTAAATGACAGGAGGCTGATGGTATAACATTTACTTTCGAGGCTATTAGAGCAAATGAGCCATTGTGCAGTAAACACTAAAGCAATCAAATGCTTGACAAAGAGCATATTGATTGAATGGAAGTGAAGGAGATGATACAGAGACAAATATGAGACAAAGTTAAGCAAAATAAAGCTTCCTGATTTACGTCTTTGATCTGTGGTTTGGTGGAAGGTAAAGAACCAGCGACCTTTCAAACTTTCTAATTCCACTTCCTGTTCTATTTCGGACACAGACCAGCGCAGTAGGATTAAAAGGGGAGCTGTTTCAGTGTTTCCAGATTGTATTTTTTTGTTCTGGCTTACCACCTTTAAACAGTCATATCAAACACCAGACACAACTGTGCCGGGGCTCAATGCGTTCCATAACAAGGAAAATCAAGTGACTCTAGACAAGGATCTCAAGAGAGGACTCCCTCTGCTCTTTCCAAAGCTCTTGATCAAGCACAAAAAGATCTGTATCTGGAGGCCGAACTCAGACCTCCTCCTGTGACTGTCTGGGTCTCCCCCTGTGTATTACATTGTAACTTCTCAAAGCGATGCTCCATTCGGAATGAAGCAGAGATCCAGAGCAGATATGGGTGGGTGCAGTTACCTCTACAGCTGTGCTTACACAATCCTCCCCTTCTCCCACTGCTCAGATCTGAGTCAGATACAGACACCTGAGCCCCGACACTTCAAAAGCCAGTCTACACACATGCAAATGAAGTGATTCTGTCTAACAGACGTTCAATTCCTTGTTTTGCGCCCAAAGACAAAATCTTTATCCAGTTTAAATACGCTAAGAGAAGGGACCGGTACATTTTCAGGGGAGGATTTTAAAATCATCTAAAGCAATGAGACTATAGAATTATATTGCAATCCAGTTGGTTGAGGCTTCCATGTCAAAATTTGAAATTTGAAATTCCTTGCAGCATAACTTTTTCCTTGATATCATAGTAAGTCTGTGATCTGCTTCAGCACTTTTTCTTTTATCCGCAAATCCCCCAAAACTATTTCAGCGGAGATACTTCTGTAGAACACTGGCCATTCAGCACAAAAGGCAGGATGAAATAAAACAGAAGTGAAATTATAAAGGGGAAGAGTGGACAGCTATTCTGCCGCTTGAACTTTTCTTGAACTTGATGCACTGTAGAAAACCATCAGGAATGAACCTGAATGTTCAAACGTATGAAGCAAAACTAGCTTTGTCTGAGGGCTTATATATAAGCATAAATAAAGATACTGATACAAGCATTAAAGTCCTCTATGTTTTTATAGTACTGAGCTCTAAGTGGGTAAATTGGTTTTGCATTGTGTGCTCGAGTGTGTGAGTCCTGGATTAACGTCATTATGAGGTTGTAGCTAAATTGGACTGAAGCCTCTTATAAAGAAAAACCCACTATGGTCTCCAATAAAGCTGGCATATCTCAAAGTTATGAGAAAATCCAAAGTTTTCCTAGAGATGGTCTGTATCTGAAGCCCATTCTGACCTTCTTTTTTAATTAGCAGTTACATATAATTAAGTTTACATAACGAGTATTTACTTTCTACACATGAGAATGAATAATTATACTTTGTCTTTGTAAGTGTTTGTCCTTCACCAAAGCTGATAAAAGAAAAAAGTTCCAATTGCTGACAAATGGATGCACTGGGGTCATTCCTACAGACTTCTGGCAATCGTCTGGTTTACGTGAGGATGATTGTCTTACCCACATAGAGCTGACTGAACAGCTCGAGCCGTGTGTGTCCCTGGGCCGGAGCCAGCCGGGACGCACGGTAGGTTTGGTCCAGCTGGAGAACCGCCTCTTTGATGTTCCGTTCGGCCATCACGCGGTGCCACTGGTCATCGTTAAGGGGCGTGGCTGAATGCACCGTCAACTCCACTGGTCCGTTTCCAACATCGAAGGAGAAGGAGACCACCTTAGAGGCTGCGGAAAGGCAGAGAGGAGCAACTGAACCGCATGCCAAAAAACTCCAGAAGACCACACTCGATTTGTATTCAACCTCTAATCAGATTTTCTTATTTGTTTGAAGAGCATTGAAGATTGTTAAAGATCTCCGTTTTGCAGTGAAAGACAGCTCCAAGCTGTGGGCAGGGTCAAATCCTGTAGGCTCTTGAGTTGACCTGTTGGTTTTTCCATGGCAAACTGTCATGCAGCTGCATTGGTCAGTTTTCTGGGAGATGGGAGCAAGTTGTACAGTGAGGGATGAAACAGAGGACTCTGGGTGCGTAAAGGGGAAAGAAGAAGAAACGTTGGAAAGAAAAACAACTCCCTAGCACTCCGCAGACCTTAATATTTAAGAAGAAAAAACTAAAGGTGGCTCTGCTTTTACTTGACCGTGGCCAATTAAAATGTACATATATTTCTGAGTCACTGTGTCCGAGTGATGGACCCCACCACCTGTCCATTCCAGATGTTGCTGCTCCAGCCATGGTGAGGTCACTGATGGATGGCTTTTTACCTTTCACCTCATGTATCTAAAAAACCTGCCGCATTTATGCATCTCTCATAGCCAAAAACATGCTGTGGGAGTGCCTTTTTTCAACTGAAACCTGATATGATTGAATAAGTAGCCTCCAGGAATATATAGATGGATTTCACATGAAAACATGTCACCTGTAAGAGGCATGACTCTCATCTTCTCCAGCTGTGGAACATTTTGATTTTGTGTTTTTTCTAAATGCTCCCTCCAGCAAAAAGTAGTCATTTTGACTTCAGGGAACAAAGCACATATGATAGAGCAATATCTTTATTGTCTTTTTGAGTTGCTGGACAGAATATTTTCAATAAAAAAAATCAAATAATTTTCAAGACATTTTCTGAACATGGGCAGTACTTTGAGAATTCTCCATAAAAAGTGGACACTCAGGATAATGCCACATTGGTGCCACTGGAGCTGTAGATAATGAATAGCTCTATACAGTACTTTACCGATTCATTATAGTTTATTAGCCTCTGAATGGTGGAAAATTTAATGTTGTAGTCAAAGAGGAGATTAAATTTCTTCTTTTTTTGTCTTGTCTCCCCTTCTTTTTTATGCTGATTTAATCTAATAGTATATTTCATTGTACATCTATTCTTCAGTCTTTTGGACCTTGCATTCTTTCTACAGTAAATTAAGCTGCATAACTTCTGTCTGACCTCTAGCAGCTGTTTTTGAGCTCATGTCTTTAACTTTGTTGTTTCACTTTTTTGCTTTTCTGCTGTTCTCTTCCATTTATTCAGCCTTGTATTTCTGGAGCATGATGTGCCTTCCCCACGTTTTACTTCAAACATACTTGCATTTGTTAATTGTTCATTGTTAATGAACTGCGTCCTCCCGGTGTTCTTTCTGTACAATAATGAGTGGGGATTTTACATTTACATTAAAATGAACTAAATGAGTGTCATCAAGGAGTTCCCTAAAGCTTTGCTAGCTTCTAAGACGTCCAGCAGTAACTCAACCCCAATGTGGAAAGCAAATAAAAAGCCTTACAATAATTCATTAATTTGCATGTCTCCAAACCGTTTACATACTTTTTTTTGTTGCTAATTTACTAAACTTGGTCTTTCACTGAGTCTTCATTTCCACTGTGTGACAAATGCTGCCTTGTACTGTGACAAACCGGTGTAACTCCGCGCTTCACCCGCCTCATTCTCTCCTCCTTTTCACCTCTCCAGCTCTTTTGATGTCTCGTCTTTTTCTTGCTCTCACGATAACCCTCTCTAATCTTTCTCCCCCCGCAAAAAAGGGTGCGCAGACAAGCCAGTGAATTTTTCATTAAATCTGTTTCTCTTTAATTTGATGTTTCAGTCATGGCAAACGTGCTATGTATCAGTTTGCTTTACACCTACACTTAATCAATTATTTGATGTTACCAGCTGCTATGGCTCGAATGTCTTATTGGTGATGATTTCGGTTTTCACAGCTTTAGCTCTGTTTAAACAAAGGGAATGCTGAGCAGTTTTGTTATTATTCTGTGAAAGTGTTGTATCATTTCATTATTTGTTGTGCAAATTTTTTTGGGAGCCCTATGCTATGAAGCAAATTTGTACATTCAAGAGTGAACGATGTGCTATGGCAACAAGTTCTGTCCATAATGGCATGCTTTGTAACAAAATATTCGTAAAGCACTGAGCTAGACCGCCACACTGCTGTCTTCTTTATGTTAGTTCAGCATTGAAATGAGGCGTAAGCACTGTTGTCTTGACTAATCTGCTGCCACAGCAACAGGAGACAACTTCTCATCTGCTTCCTCGAGCCTCATCTGCACCTTGCAGCTTTCTTAAACCCTTATTATTATTGACGTAGCTTCTAAGTGCAGCTTTGCTGCCACTAGATGCCAAAATTGAAAGCCTTGATGAAACTAAAAGTGAGTGTGTGAGGTGCAGTGAACTAGATCTAATGCTTAATGACCCAGACAAACAGAAATGTAGCCTGTTTTTATTGTCAGCAGCTGTATGATATATTTTTGTTTTTTTGGCATGATACCTAATCTTTTTTTTCTTTAAATATTTGGATGACCAGTGTCTTATCATCCCATTGGTGCTATTTTTTTTCAATCTTAGACTCTGTCCTGATTTGCTTATTGCAGGCATTGATACACGTGAGGCAGAAATCATCACATGAAAAGCCTGTTTAAATGTGCTGAGTACGTTAACCCACAAGATAAATCTGAAAAAAGGGCTTAAATGTTTAAGCATCCACAATATACAGCCAGCAGCAGCACACAGATAAATAGACACGCCGTACAGGCCCTTTGACAGCATTTAGCACACTGAATTAATGATGTCTGTATATTCAGTGTGGGCTGCAAGGCAGAAAGGAACGACATCACTAATTTTAAATGCTGAAAGGAAGCCAATCACAAATCACAATACCCAGAGGAAACAAATCTGCAGCCATTTTGCATAATCACACTGAACACTGTGTTTGACATTTTTCCGTGTATTGTTTTTATCACCAATGCAAAGCAAGATGTATATCCTGCAAGTTTATCTCTGCAGGCACAAACTAAAGCCCCCTTCTGCAATGATCTTGACTCATCTATTTGGATTGTCGATACACATGTCGATATACATGTCATATGTATATCGCACTGAATAATTTAGAATTAGCGTCTAAGCTTGTACTTGCATGTTTGCTCTCTTCTTGGTTTTGAGAAAAATCCTTTACACCATCTTATTTTTTATCTATTCGTTTGCTACTTGGTTTTGTGTTTATCTTTTCATAAGCAGGCCAAAAGAGCCAAGTTGTAAATTATGTGGCTGTGCAGCACGGCCAAACGATGATAAATAGTGGAAGAGACTGAGAACGTGTTTGTGTGAAAGATCGCTGCGTGTCTGGATGTGCAAATGCTTGTCTTTGTGTTTATCTAATGTAAGGTTCAGTTTGGCTGTTCCTCATTTTTTTCAGATGGTTGGCAGCGAATTATCTTTTTGATCTCTTTTCTGCTATACTTACTAATAATTCTCTTTTGTCTCTTTCATTTGCTCGGTTAGCCTTTCCCTCCATGTCTTTCACCTGTGTGCCAAGCTGCACAGACCGTAGCTTTTTAAGTTGAAAATCTTATTTAATTGGGAGCTAAAATCACAGTGCAATGCCAAACCGGCAGCTGCTGAAGCAGAAGAAATGTTTAAACCTCTAAAAAAAATAAACTTTTCATTACAGGGGTTCTCGAATAAATACTTTTTTACCTAATGCCAACAGCGTCAAGAGTCACAACTGTTTGTCTGCATGACAGAAGAGCAGATTTGGTTGGATAAAGATAAACCTCTGACTGTTACTCAAATATTCTAGAATTGCCTGGTTGCTTTTCTTTTTATTAGAAAACTGAATATCATGTTAACAAGTCAGAAAGGGACCTGACAAAGCTGTACAGCCTACAGCTAAACTTAAAAAGTACACTGTGTGTTTGGTCTTTCTAGTTTCTGCTGGTTATCGGGTTGAAATATAACCTCTGGGTAAGACAGATACTGAGAATTCAGCCTTTAACGGGCTCAGAACATATGGGGCATGGATTATGGGACGGGCTTTCCCTTGAACCATAGAGAATCTAGTGTCAGCATTTTTATTTTATTTTAGGGGACTTTCTTATCTGCTCTAAGCCCTGTCACCATTTTATTTCTGATAGAACTGAGAAAGTCTTTAGAACTGCTTCTCTAAAGGGGTTGTCTCAAATGGTGACTCAAAAAAATCTTCCTTTTACTATTAAAAGTCAAAGAGAGATAATACTGATCCTGTTCAGGACAATTTAATGAGTATTGTTTGTGTGTGTTTCTTTTTTTTGTGCGCGTATCAGACAGTGTGTCTTTCAAGGCTCTGAGCCCCTGCATTGACAAAGCCATGCTATTCTGGCTTAATGCTGTCATTTCATGCCCTGACTGGATTGCAGTCGACAGTTTTTTTTTGCACTGGCAAGAGGGCACAGATTATGTGTGTGTTTATGTGTGTGGATGTGCATGAGAGTCATTTTGTAATTGTGTGTCTAAACATGTGCCGTGGGGCAAAATGGGAGATGATAGGAAGGAGAAGAGAGGAAATCGATGTGGGGGCATTTTGAAAGCCTCAGGAGACATACGCCCACGCACCAACACGAACTGTCTGGCCGTGACAGGAAAAATACTTATTGTCTTTGTGCACACGCTGAGGTCAAACCCTCGTAGCAAAATCTGTCTGCAGTTAAATGTGCAGTATAGTGCTACTGCATGTTCGTATTTCTGCGAGAGTAAACATGTTCATGAAAAGCATTCTGCATCTGAGAGAAGAGAGTTGGGGAAAGATAAACTTAGCAAGCTAAAAGTCTACCGTGTGACATAATATCAGCTGGTGTATTGGCCTCAGGCCGAACTTGGGCTTCAATTTCTTATTCCAAAAAATTGGTTGAGGTCTTGAGACAAAATGGCAGGCTAAGCCATCAAAAGGAAAAAAACAAGACTGATTCTTTCAAAATATGTGCCCATGGGTTTTATGATTTGAATGAAGGGAAGTCATGCATTACAGAATTTATTTCTGTATTGTTTTGCTTTGCTGTGCCACTGTATCTCATGATGACTTACTGACCAGGCATGTGACCTCATGACTGACTGTAGTTATAATTCTAAGATGCAGCATAGTCCATATCAGTTGTTTTTTTGCCCGCGTGAATCCTGCTTTATCATCTTGCGGTAAACAAAATGTCTTGATCCAACAACGATAACTTTTTAATCCTGCAAAGTCATTTTACTGCTAAAACCCAACCAGGAAGTTGCTAATGTGTGTTGCCACGTTCCAGCTGTCACACTGGACTCACCCAAAGGAGCATATTCACAAACACACAACCCATTTTTGGATCGGAAAACTTGTTGAGAAATGGTAAGGAAATGTCCCTTACCCCACATATTCAAAATCCCTTTGAATCCCAGTGAGATGCAATTAGTCATCAATCGACAGCCACGCTGTGCCAGGAGTCCCCTTCACAAAGCAGCTCTTTGATTAAATTGAGGCGATTTTAAAACTCTTGATGAGAATGGTTCCACTGTGCCAGCAGGGAATTTAATTTGAGCCACTGGAACGGATCATGGAGGCTCGCTCCGTGACATGCCAATCATAATTCTCAGAGAGGGCTTCGAGGCTGTAAAATCTGTCCCATTGTTGGGTGGTTAAGACATCTGCTCCGCCTCTTTTCTGTTGCCATCTCTTCCATTTCATGTGCTAACAATTGATATGTTTCTTTTTTAAGTTCTAAGTGAATTAATTGATGCCTTTATGTGGGAAAATACACACAGATCACTTACTGCTTTGACACATTTCACCCACATTAACATTGTTTGAGAACAAGAGCCTGCTCCTTCCAGAAGCTAAAAACACAAAAAATAACCTTTTGAGGAACCATTTTTCCTGACCTCCCTTTCAAAACTAAGACTTAGGGACACACATTAGGTTTAAAGCAAGCTTGTCAGGAGCTCATCAATTGTCATGTAATCATTTGTGACTAACATTTGCCTGCAGTGGTGAATTTTATATGGTGTGCTTGGGAGGATGCAGGGCCAGAGATTTTCTGTTGTTTTTGTTTGCTATGTTTTTGCATGAGAATTCAGAGCAAGTTTGAGACAGCTACATTTTTATGTCTGCAGCCCAATTTGTTTAATTGTCCGAGGGCTCCAGCAGAGAGCCTGTAGCTTATTTGAACATGTTAATTGTAGCCGATGGAATTTAATCCGTTCACCTGTTTTTCATACTCCATTCCTCCCACTCAGGAGGAGGGGACTGGTAGGGGGGAAGGGGGGCCACCATAAAAATCTGAGTACTTCATTTTGTGTTGTTGCATGGGTGTCTGTATGCTACAGAAACTGCAAATGCTTTCTGTTTGGGAAAAGTTTAGTCTATTAAGAGTGTGATGTGTCCACTGAATACTGAAATACAAAAAATGCACTCTTTACTCTGACAGTGCTGGGTCAGTGGGGGTGTGTATATGTGTGGGTACTGCGTGTGTATATGTCTACATGTTCTCTGTGATGGAAAAAAGGGAGAGATATTTTATGCTTTTTTACAATTTTTTTCATAGCGGGAGAAAAAAGAATAAGGGAGAGCTGGAGTGTTTGTGTCTGAGCAAGGTTTTGTGTTATGTCATCCCTCAAAATGGGTGATTTGGTTAAACAGAGGTTCATAATGGACATAATTATTGCACACACCAATTACCTTAAATAAATGATTGCTCTCCCCTGCAATCACAGAACGCGTTTGCTATAATCAGCAGGGAAAATGACTGTTCCTGGTGGGGTCCTGATCAAGCATTTTATGTGATTCAGTGTGTGTGTGTGAGTGACAGGGCGCACCCAACGCCACCAGACGGACCACTGGACCAAACCGCACACCGCCAGACAGAGTGCTAACAAAGGAGCCAGAGAATAAGGAAGACAAACACAAAGTAATGGCTCTCATGTTCTCACAGAGCCACTCAAAAAGCATCTTACATTTGAGCTCCAGACGGATGAAGTCAGTGTTGCCCAAGTTCTCCAGAAAGACTCCGTAGGGCGCGCTGGTCTTGAAATAGAAGGAGATGTCGGCGCTGGTCTCACCCTGAAAGGTGGCAAAGTGCAGGTAGGATGACGGGGTGGTGAAAGACACAGCGTTCCAGTAGTCACCTGTGAGGAGAAAAACAAACAATGAGACATCTGAGTGGCAGTTCTCTCAAACACTCGCGAAAGCCTCTATTAACACCGTGGCAAACATTTTATAACCCATTCCGATCTGATGAGCTGCAGATTAAATTCCAGTTTGGAAAGTTACATTCCACAGAGCTATGAATACATTTTCATTTCATTCAAGAGCCATCGAGCTATTCTGGGTGAAATACTGTTACCTCGTACCTGTTGTTTCATTTGCATCCTTCGATATCTCTTTTACGAAAACTATTTCACCGCGCATTTTTCAACGCAGAAATGCCCTGGAATTTTACACAACTTCGACGGCATTCGTCAGAGAGTTGATTATATCAAGATGACAGAAAAATCTTTTCTTTTTCCTCCACAAGAGGACCCAAAACAACAGATACCTGATAACTTTACTAACGACTTTTGAATTATTGGGAAACCAGGGGGCAGCTAATGAAGACAGAGTAGCAGCAAACCGAGCAGCTGCTGATGAACCATCAGACTGTGGTCGATGAAGCTTCTGTGCTGTCGCCTCGTCCCCCCCCCCCGACACGCCCACATCACTCACAGAAGAAGAAGAGCATGGGGAAAAAAAAGGATGGGGGGCAAGGGAGAGATGTTGCTGAGGAGAGCTGTAGGAGCTAAGTCAAGGGTGAGGAGATGAAGTATTGAAGACTGAATGGGAAACAGGAGAGAGAAGTCAGGCAGGGGGAAAATAAACAGGAAAGCCGGAGGAGCTTTGGGGCCTGGGGAGGACACGAGGGGGAGGGGAAGTGAAAGTTGATGCGGTATCAGCTCAGGGAGATTTCTTTGATGCCTCAGAGGATTGATTGACCCTCTGGAAATCAGCTGTGCAAGACGGAGGCATAAATGTTTGCTCCAGTAATATTTTTCTCGGTATCTAAAAGTGCTGCAAAAAATGAAAGTTTCTCATATCTTGATATTTCTGCAAAAAGAGTTGTTCAACATTTCTAAAACCAAAGGGAAATGAACTGAATGGAAACCGATGGAAAATAGCTTTTCTAAAATGGAGAGACCTCCAGATTGCTTGTCAGAGTTTGAATTTATACGACTGGATGTATATGCTCTGTTTTTGAGTGCAATTGCATGTGTTGCAATTGTTTTTGTGTCTACGGGAATCCAGCAGCGTTGATGTCTGCTGGTTCTGTGTGATAAACATCCTCCAACTACAAGGCTGAGCTCATCCACTCCCCGTCTTGCCTCACATCCCACCACCAGGGGCAAGCGTAAATACCATACACACATTCCGACACGTACAAACATCAGCCTCCCGACGCTGACTTCATGAACAGTGTGTTTGAAGCTAAACTACTGTTTACTCTATTGGAACCCCAGCCAATTAGTGAAAAAGACTTTTCTGAGACTTGAACAGAGGGTCGCGGGTTCGACAAAAACTGATGCAAAGAGAACAGCGGCAGAGAAATAAACACAGGAGCCAAATCACGAATCCCCGGGTGCCCCTGCCTAATGAGGCTCATATATCAGTGACATATTGAAATGCTTTTCAGACAAACGATTCTTTCAAAATAATTTCCAAGCTAAAGTTCTGTAGCTCTGCGGATGTGCCAAACAAAATCGAGATGATCAGCCATAGAGAGCAAAATTCTGTATGGAATGAAGCCTTTTTTTTTCCTTTTTATGCATATGAACCATCTAATTTTTTGTTTAGTGTCAAACCTCATATCCTGGTACCACAGCTTTTCCAGAACAAACTATGGCTCCTTGTTTGGCGCACTTATATGCAATATGTGGGCATGGCTAAGAATATTCTCCTGAGGTCTCTGGTGCCATACTATTCTGTTACATCACATTATTTTTCTCCTGATCTCAGAAAAAACCTGAATATTTTATTATTTGGAAAACTAATTTCTGTGTAATTGTGAGCTCCGACACAGCTCTACCTGAGTGGCCCTAATATTGATCAATTATCTGTAACCTTTGGGATGATTATAATACCTGAGAGGCTTGCACAAATCAAAACTGTGCACAGCAACACCTTTATTTAGATTGGTGCACTTGGTACCTAATCTAAAACCTCCAAAGTGGTATACAGAGCAAAAATCTTAAGATTATATCAGGTTTTATTTATTTTCACAAGTGATAGTTGCAGAGAATATACCTCATATTCTCTGTAAATGATTCCCAGTAGCAATGTTTTCCTTAGTACCTGCAGCTTAGCCAAATTGATGTGTTATCCATGCTTAGCTGAAAATAATATTTTAAGCAGTGCTTTTTCTTTTAGTTTTGTAAAGTTGGATTGAATTCTCATGTCAAACAACGCTGAATTGAAATAGTTTTCTAAACCGCACATACAATAAAGACAGGAGGTGAACAAGTTCCAGTTTCACTTGATGAAGCGATTTTACAATTCTTCCGTAATTGTAGTATTCTTGGACCCGTGTAGTCATGAAACGTCGTGTGAGGATGAAAAACTGAAAACAGATGTTGACCTCTGCATTGGCACTAGGGGACGTGTTAAAAAGAAGAGAGAAAGGAACAAAGAACAAGCTCAGTGAACTGTGGAGGCTGACATGATGTGAGACGGAGTTCGAGGTGAAGTCTGGGTCTGAAAGCCAACTAGATGATTCATCTGTCTGTGCTTGACCACACGGGTCAGTTGCCAGTGCCAACAGATGGTTAGGATGACTGACTACGCGAGCAGAGGTCATTAACACGGACACTTTCAGGCACACAAACAGAGACACGTAAAATGCAGAACATGAGCATTCACATTAGAAAATACAAATAATGTAATGCTGCCGGGAGCCAGAGGAGACTACACAATACGTAACGATAATTGCTCATTAACAATGTCATCGCTTCCCTTTGAATCTTCCTCGTACCGGGTCATGTCTAATGGTTAAAAACTAATCTCATATTGGCAGCTATGTCAAAGAAAACACTCTGTGACATCTAATTTAACTTTTCCATTTTCTTCTTGCACTTCAGCCCACACACCTTTTGTTGAGGATTTTTTTTTAAATCCAAGGAGGAAGAATGGCCTCGATATACCAAATGCTCCTAGGGGCATGGTTCAGATATGACTGTTCAAAACACTTGAACCTATATACAGTACTGCAGCGAGTTGAGGGCTGGAACACGAAGCATATATTACTTCCTCACTCACTCGTTAATTTCCATTGAGACCTGCATTTCATCTCATTTGTGTGATTGAGCCATCTGTGGTCTGTCATTTTATGGTCCAAGTAAAGTATATGCAGGGTAAATGTAGCATTCGAACATTTGGGTAATTAGTCTGTGTCATTTGAGACCTGCAAAGCCTTTATCAATCTTACTGTGTAATTAAGTTACTTGTCATACACTTTCAGCACAAAACCTTCCAAAACTAAAAGCTGCACAAGGGGAGAGATGATTTGAAAGAAATAGCAAAAAGGACTCCTTATCTGTTTTCCGCCAAATTATTTCTGTAAGCTATCATTACGTTATAAAAAACATTTAAGAAACTGTCTGTATAGCAAAGTTGATGACGCGTGTGTAATTAATAAGTCATAAATACTAATTTGAGCAACAAAGGTCATTTTAAAAGATACACCTGAAAGCAAGGGAAAAAAAGTCCTGCATCAAAATACTTACTGATAAGCACAGGCAACAAAAGCATGCAAAGATATAATTAAATGTATTATACTGTCAGATAAAGATGAACTAACTTTAATCGTCTATGTGAGAAGTTTTTGTGAGCTATTGTACACTTCTTCTGTTCTTCTGAAATGATGAATGTAACCTGAAACCAATCGTGCCCAAATCACTGTGCCAAAGATTTAAGATTTGCATGAGGCAGTCTGGCAAATTTGACTGTAGGAGGCAATAGATATATACCACCACTAAATTATTTCCTCTCGTCAGTGTTACCGTAATAAAGTCAGCATGACAGGTCGACAAATTTTGTAGTTAGGGATACAATTTGATAAATGGGGCTGAGCTGCAAAAAAATAGAATAAAAAAAATGACAGGGTAGAGTAACACTTTTATCAAGTTCTGATATTAAAGTTGTAAAACAACATTTTTATTGCAGTAAAAAGATAGAGAGGCTACAACTCTCCGCAGACGGCCAAGTCATTAATTTAAGAGTCAAAAGTACATGAATCTTGAAAGACAGATTGCTGTTAAGCAAGTCTCCCAAGTTATATGTTGAAAGAGAGAGAAGCAGAATCAAAATGGGTTAGAAGCTAGTTTGGAAAGGATGGTGCATAGTTCATAAAAGTTTATAAAATGGAAACGTGGTGCATAGTTCAGAAAAGTTTATAAAATGGAAATGGTACTTTTGAAGAATTTCACTTTCAACTTATTTGCACCAAATTAATAAAATAGATACTTTTTTGACACAATTTGTTGATGTTTTAGACACAGATTAAAAAAATTAAATTAGGAAATATCTGTTTTAATAGTAGACCCACTAGTACACAGCTAAAGATCAAAGAAGAGTCCTATGAGCAGAAAGTAAAAACACAGTAAAGACAAAAAACACGGATTTGTGTAAAGGGCACTGCAGGAAAATCGTATGAGTGCTTAACCTTTCTCAACAATAACAGCCTTTAAAGTCTGCATAAACCTTTTAGGGTTTTAAGTAGGAGGTGTCAAAAAAATTACCACTTATTGTGGCGAAGCTTTCATATCAATAATACGATATACTGCTTTTTAAGAATGACTTTTAAGGTAAACCACATCCAATAACTTTTAAGCAGAATTGGTAGACTGATTGTTTTAATATACTAACAGGGAGGATGACCTTTAGTCTCAAGTCTCTTGCTTTCTAGTAGCTTCTTTCTCAGATGATGGCTCTCTCTAAAGGTCTAGTGGATTTAAACTTCATCTGCTGCTGGCCAGATTACATAACTCTGTTATCTATGTCTTTTAGTTATTCTAAAAGTGCTCTCTGATCACAAATGCAACACGTGTTGTTTTTTTCTACTTTCATGTTCCATTTCGCTAACAAGAAGCCTGCCATTCTGATACCCATATTTAGTTTAGAAATTACCTTAAAACACATGCCTTTGGACTGCAAAAAGAAGTACACACCCACACACAAACACGGGGTCAAGAGAACATGCAAAATTCTCACAGAGAGGCCTAAGTCAAGACTCAAACAGGGAATCCTCTCCTCTGTTGTTGCCTTACTTTAAAAACACATTTAAAGTAAGAAAAATGAGAGTTAAAAAAAAAGCTCTAGGAGCAATTAATCAATTTTGAACTCTTACATGTAACCCCAAGGAAGGTTGCATTTGTGGTCCCTGATGAGGCTGGGTAAGACACCGGGCCCATGAATTTAAAATAGACGAACATGTGTTTCTTGCTTTGCTTCATTTGCTATCTTTTAGTCTCATTTCCATCAATTAAAATGTCCAAACCCTTTTAACATCAATAAAGGGAAGTCATTTCCACTTGTCTGCCTGTGACTGTTGAGGCTGCCATTAAACCAGCCATGGAAAGAGGCTTCATTAATGCCAAGGCACACACTCACATGCACAGAAAGTTGAACTCTAATGCTCTTGGGTTGGCCACAGACAGAGAGACACACACTCACTAAAGTGTGCATGTGCACTCACACACAGACCACCTTATTGAAACTTTTCCAGACTGCTCAAGACATTAGTCATTTGCCTACAAAAACCCATTATATGGCAGCCAATCGTCATTTCTCTTACTGAGACGGAGCTCCATGCACAGTATGAAAAGCATCAATCATACACGGAGTACCTATTCACGTGTGAAATTTTTAATACACATTTAATTTGCCTTAATGGGCCACTGTATAATATATGCTCCTTGTTTCGGTGCCTTGGCCAGAAGAATGGAAAACATACCTCAAAGTCATCTTCATTTTAAACTTAGTTAATTTAGCCGTTCAATGAAAAACAGGATGGCTCTCTTCATCTCTTTCAGACACACAGACTCGTACAGTGATAAGGGGGTAAGACATTGGGAATACAGCTCCAGTAAAGTGACAGAGAGATCCATCTTTTTAATGGCGTTACAGACACTTCTGTATGATGGACCCGTATACACACAAAAAGATGTGATGTCATGGGTCATCAGTTTGTTTGAAATGAGCCTCACAGATGAAGGGACATTAGTGAGAGTGGCATCAGGTAGTAGATGAAGGGATCGTGATCAGCGTGACTCAGAGGAGGAGAAAGGGCAAGTGTTCTGTCATGTTCTGCACCTCAGACAGAACCAGGTCATTTCCTGTCTGCAAACTGGATGGACCAATGAAGACAGAGATGAGCCTCTAATTCTCAATAAAATGAAAAAACATATCCATGGCATCACAGGCCTTTTACCTTAACGGTTTTAAAATCTAGTGCGGTTTCTGTAGGTTATAGCTTCATTTAGTTTAGTTTCCCTTAAGAATGAAAAAAGGGCTGTCAGGAGACGTTTTCCTTCTTCTTCTGCTAAAGTAAAGTGTAAGGTATTATTCACATTAACATGCTGCATTAAAGATCCACTGCTTCTTTTCCGCTCTGAAGCATATTTCACATGTTCACACAAAACATCTGGTGGTTTGTCATAATACATAAACCAGCATTACTTCCTTTCTCTCCTGTTTTCATTCATTGTTTTTTAATGGATTTTGTGTGCCGGAGGCTCTTATTTGGCAGTGGGTAGACGGAAAAGTGGGCAGTGAGAGAGCAGGAGAAAACACAAATGGGAGTGGAAACTGTACTATCTGTGTCAAGGAACTACGATCTCAGTACATGGAGTGACTTCTCTACCAGCTAAGCGACAGAGCTCTGTTTTTTAAAAAGATTTTTTAAAAAGTGGAACAAAAACAAAAGAAATAACTTAAAAGTACCAAAAAAAGATAACAACTCAATTGAGAGAAGAACGCAAGAATGTGTCTGTACAAAAGATGAAATGTTTAGTAAAGGTGAACTCACACTTCTTCAGATTTAGTGACGTCTAAGTGCCGGCGGATCATTCGACAGGCGTCAACTTCACACACCTCAAACAGACAGAAGACTTGCCGTGTGTTTCTGTGAGGCGGGATAGTGGCTTATCTTGACAACTTGACAAACATCACCCTGTGCAATCTTTAAGTTCCTTGACACAAACAGCCCTCACATAAAAAAAGCTTTCTGCCACAGAATCAACCCCCCACGATGGGAGTGTTTTGTCTCGTTTCGTTTGGCTGGACATAGCTGGAATTTTGCTGTTGCCTTTGGATAATCTGTGTGAAAATTGACAAAAATAACCCTGAGGCTCAGAGATTATTATCTTCTAAAGTGTGATTTTTTTCAGATCGGTAAGTAAGACCATAAACAGCATATGGGGGGTCCAGGACAAAGAGAGACAGTCTAGAATATGAGAAGTAGATTTTTTGTGTCTTTCCGCTGACCCAACGTTCCACTGGGAGCAGTGTGCCAACAATGACGACAGGAGCAAGACAGAAGAAATGAAGGATTGAAGTGCCCCTCAATCAGGGTAAGCCAGTGTCCCATTTTACCTGAGAAACAAGTGCCACTACAGGACTGTGACTGAACAGATGAAGGGAGATGGATAGACTAACAGACCGATGCGCATCGATAAACTGTTTTATTTGTAATTTACAATGTATCGGTTGCTAAACGTCAGCGAGATTACAAAGATCTTATCTTTGACCAGTGACTGGGAGCAATCCATCTTTACTTGTTGTACACGCTCAGACTTGTCGAGCGGGGTGGACCGGCCAGCTTCCAATGCTGCGTTTGCAAACATTTACTGCTTAGTTGGCCTTTAATTTCCACCGGGAATTCGGCTAAAGAAACAGTCAAATGAAAAGAGTGAAAATATTTAAGTATCAAATTACCAAGCATCGAATTTCAATGTTTGTGCAAGTAAACAAGGAGTCCATCCATTTTCTCGTTTAATCGATAGGTTGGGGCCTATCCCTGTGTGCCACGCGGAAAGCCAGGGCCCGGCCCCGGACAGGTCACCGGTCAATCCCAGTGTGAACGCAGAAACAAACAGCCGTGCACACTCACACTCAGGGTTGAATTAAGATCACAAATGGTAAATAAAATGCATGCTTGTGGATTCTAAAAGGACGCCGGAGTATCCAGAGAGCAAAGGCAAAGGGAGAACATGCAAACGTCACACAGAAAGGTTACCGGCGGGTTTTATACCGGGAACCCTCTTGCTGTGAGGCTAACCACGGCACCACGGGAAATCCCATTAGCCGTGACTTACTGAACTGAAAATAATGCTGCTGATATAGTTTAATGAACACCGTAGTTTGCAATCTTTTCAGTTCTCATTTGTTCATTCTGGAGTGAATATTAGATTTATATATATCAATATATATTAAAATACCATTTGCAATTTCAAGACAACACAGTATATATAGTGACACATATATATGTTTAAAATTATTTTGCAATAGATGCAATAGTCACATAAATATAGTGTACATTCTATGTAGTTTTTAAAAAGAGGCTTCTTCAGGTCTGTTGTATAAAAGAGAAAGGTGAATGCGCTCAGTCCTGTAAGTGCCAGGGGCAATAACCATGCATGCTCACGGCTTGTTGTGACTTAAGCAGAAAAAAATAAAAATAAAAAACTCCAGCATTATAATATAACTTTGGTATGAATAGATATATTTTCATTCGTTTCAAAAGCTTGTTGGACTTCCATTAAGAGTTCATTACAACATGAAATAAAAGAATTGTTCTTTGCTCAGATGACTATTCAAAAGCAATAAATGTACCAAAATGGGGAATTTTAATAAGATCTGTATTAAAGGGATTGGAGGTGCCCTCTTCATTCAACCTTTGATGAGCCCTTCACAAAAGGTTATGCAGTTGTATCTTTCCAGCCTGCTCTGAATTAGTTTGGAAATGAAACCACTTCTCTTGGCAAGTGAATTGGAGGAGGTCATTAACACACATAATGCTTCTCAATTAGTCCAGTTTAACAGCAGTCCTCTTCTCTCATTCAAAGCAGGTAAAACATAAATGTTCACTCTAGGTCCTCTAAAGTTCATTCTAAGCTCTAACTGATCTGAAACCCGGGGAGAATCAGCTCAGCGTTACCTCTCATTCATACATTGCCATTTTACTATATATTAGCCTCCAAAGCATTACATGTATGCTATGCTACAAAGTATTTGCAAATTAATTTCCCACAATAATCAGCCCAGGAAAATACAGTAAAAATTGAATACCATTTCCATGAGCACACAGTGAATTCTTCAAATGACTGCTCTTTGCGAATCAGAGTTTAATACAAAAATTAATCAGCATTTCCTATTTTGCAAAAACATAAGAAAAAGAGCAGTTTCATTTTCCCTCAGAATTTTTACACCTCAGCTCTGTAGACTGAGTGACACTTTCAAATTCTGGCATTATGTCCATCCAGCTAACAGCAGTTGAGTAGGTATCAGTGACACAATACTTACTGTCACCCTGGCAACGGAGAGGTCCAACGGTGAGCTTGGCCTCAGAGCCCGGTCTGTTTGTGTCACCCACGGCAACCTGGCTGACAGGCAAGTGTTCTTTATTTATCAAGAGACCAGAATCTTCTCTCCTGTAAGATGAGAACAAAGGAGTGTCAACATTGCCAGCCGTTGCTCCTTTCAGCCTCCTTTGACTCATCCTGCTCGTGCTGCTCTTTCACTTGGTGAATCTTTTATCTTGTTCAAGTAAAAGCAAAGACACAGTTAAAAACAATGTAATAACATTTTCCATTTCAAGACAACACAGTTCCTGACTGAGACAGTAACATCGTCCATTAATAACTCATTGGATTTGTGGTGCTATAACTGTTGAGAAATTCTGGAAATAAACACAAGCAAGGGGTTGGTTGGGGACAGAAAACTGTCTCTTTTATGGAGGCCATATGGGAGCTGTGAGTATATTGTAATATTTCTTGAAGCACAGCCTTTGGCACATTTGACTGCCACTGGGTGTGTGGGACAATATTTTGTATAGATGGCTGAATTTTTTTTTCTAATAGTTGAAGTTTGGGAAACACACGTTGTGGCAGATAAAGTATAACTACAAATGATAAGTCCGACAACTTGAAAACAGTGTTCCAGTTCCTGCCTGGCTGTCTATAAATGAATCTGGGTGAGTGCACATTTGAGACATGTAACTAGAGAGCATATGCTATTTTTTTTTCTCAGGCTCTGTGCTCAAGCACATCAAATTAAGAAAAAAAAAACAGAGTTAACTTTATTTGCGTGTAGTAATGGTCTTCAGCAAATTAAATGGAGCTCACTAATATCAAGGCCAATTGATTAGGCTGTTTGAAAGTATTCCATGTTTAGGTTTCTCGTCCTGTGGGGGCCGATAGCGCTATCCAATGAATTTTGATGCGGCGGGCATGAAGTTTGGACACAGAGTGTCTCTGCTCACCTCCGAATCAATCAGACAGCCTGAGCCGGGCTGGCAGTTGATTTGATGACATGCAGCTCTAAACTGTTACTGAATATGCCCTACATTTGAAAAATTAGGCTGTGGCATTTTTTTAATAATCTCCACAGTTTTTCTCAGATGCTTTCTCCCTCTTGTTTTGACACAGGTTCATTTTTGGTCTCATTTGTGCAGAAAACCAGAAAAATTCTCAACCCAGCCACCCCACTGTTTGCATCTTGTGGAGAATTCTCAGAGGTTCTGGCCAAGTTTTCTCTTGATCCCTGTGAAGGAAACATGTATGCTTACTCGCTGGTGAACATGGCCAACTTGCTGTGAAATGAATTATGTGTTTTTCCCTCGCAGTGGAAATAGTTTTCTGGTCATACATAAGGCATGCGCTCCTTGGTCTAGCTACTCATTTAACATTCTCTTCTTTTCGCTTGCTTTTTCCTTTCTGTTTTTTTTGGAAAGCAGCAACTGTTGATGAAGTAAGTGCTTGCTTTTCACATCTCACTTTTCCTTTGAGTCTCATTAACACTGCCTTCACACATATCTTTAATCAGGATATTTACTGCTGAGAGCTTATTCCTAATTGCTGTGGTCATTATTCTATATAAAATTGAATTTGGTGCAATGCAGAGCCAAAAGAACAAATTAATGGATAACCCAGTCTATGTGGTTTGACCTGCACAGCAAATAAAAAGGAATCAAACAGTGTAATCATGTATTGATAGGTGCATTAAAATATCAATTATTTTACAGAAACAGATGTAATTGCCTAATGACGGGTGAAACAATAACTAAAAGCATTTGCTTTTGTTCGTGCATGTCTGCAGCACTAATGAAGTATATCTTTGGCTATGCTAATACTTTTTAAATAATGAGTATGGAAGAATGAGTCATTGTCACTGCTGTGTCATTGAAAAATAAATTAAAATGAGGCTTTGCTGTATGCATGTTCTTACAAAATACAATATATATCGCTTTCATTGTAATTACCCCAAGTGACAACACAAGTAGTCAGACATTATTTTATACATTGCGTTTTTAAATAACAGACTTTTCTATTTTTCATTATCAATGCATGCATTATTCTCCATATAACTTAATTGAACCTCTCAGCTGAAACTATATCACGACATTTGGAAACTGTGAAATGTAATTAGCTACTTTTTTGTATCTCCGAATAGAATTCCACATGTACATGTGCTGTTAAAAAAAGTGTGTGATGACAGGGGACAGGTGACACTTGCCAAAAACACATTGTCAAATACAATGTTTGTAAGAATGATTTAAAACATCATCAGAGGGAGACACGATAGAACATACAATCTGTTCTTGCCAACTTGCTGTAACTACTCATACGACAGTGATGTGATTGGTTTTAATAGAAAATATCAATCAGGTGGCCAAAAGAGCTGTGAGACATAAACTATTGGTTTTGGAGTTAAGCATTGCCATTAAATAAACTCATGGTGGCATTTGTTATTCAGTCCCTGTAGTAAGTGAAGCGAGACACCTCACCAGATCATGTAGCTAAGTTTATACTCCGATCAGTGAAAGGAACAGTGTGAGGACAAGTGTTTCATCACAACTTCAAGTTCACTGGACGTGTAATGAAATCCTGTTGTTGCACAAGATGCTTTTCAAAGAGATTAAGGAGGTATTCTCTGAAATAGTGTGACAGATAATAGTCCCTTTTAAGATAAAATTGACCATCGCACTATCAAATCAAAGGGACATTATTTTTTCAAAGCAGTTACAGCTCGGAAGATGAAACTCCTTGAAAAATACTATTTATTAAGATAGAGACTGACACAAACCACACATCTGACCAGAAATGGTCTGGATGGGTGAACTGAAGGACAAACAGTCTTCAGGCTGGAAGAGCAATTGAAATGGCTATGCAACTATTCTAATGCTGCTTTGTTACTATTATAGAGGCTATGAGTGGTAACAAAGGGCAAATCTCAGCAACTGAACAATCAATGAAACTCTGCTTAGACAGATAGAAAGAAAGGGTTCTGACTGTTCCTTTCTATCAGGCTGGGTTTAGAATAAAACAATGGTAAAGTATTCAATCAAAATGTCGACAAATATTTCAATCTAGAGTTCTTGTTTTCAAAAACATGCCAGACAAACTTAGTCTTATCTCTAGCCTAACTTTAGTAAAGCATAAGTCTAACCTTTGTTAGTAGATTTCATAGACCAACTCACCAACAAATTACCTTTGACTTATAAGGATGGCTTTAAATTCTCTGACTTCACGGCACGCAGATTACAATTCTGTTGCTATAATGCCAAACACGACAAGGGAAAAAAAAAAAAAACAAAAAAAAAAAAAAATTCTCTGTCCACAAAAATGATGGCTGAGCGTACACTTAATTAGTCAAAAAGTCTGTTTTAAAACGATAAGTTAAGAAATGAAATGAAGTAGAAGCAACATCAATATATTATATTACAACACTGAAGCAAATGCAGAGTAACATCAGTTAAAAATGATTTTAATCTAATATAAGACTTTCTCAATATTTGGTTTAAAGCCCCATACTGCTTTTGGAGGGCTCTAAACAAGATCATAATACAGTACTCCTCTTACATATACCATGAAATATACACCAATAAGAATATCAATAAAATCATCAATAAAATAAAACGGGTAAGGACTTCCCAATGATCAAACAACAAGAATGAAAACCAATAACTCAGAGGGATTGCAGACAGCCTTCCCAAGTTACTCTCAGCTCAACCATCTCAACCCTTGTCTCTGAATTACAGGGAGAGTAATTAGTTTATTTATCCATCTACCTGTTGGACTTTTGTGAATATTTTCTACTTACCATTGTTTAGAATCGGCATCGCAGTTGCAGTCGTATTTGGGATCAGTGCAGTTCCTGATGATGCCACAGGCACATTTCTGGATGCCAGGCCCTGAGCCCCCCCAGTAGAAATGCTTCTCGCTGCCTCGGCCCACCCACCACGTGTAGGGGGTCCCGTCTACAAAACAAATACAAACAAGTCTGTGAGCTCCAATTATGCGGGAGAAAAGCCTTCCCCTGCTCCGTTTGCCTACAGATGTATAGACAATGACTACAACAAACCCTTCACTAAAAGAAAAAGGCAACAAAATGACAGAAGGCAGAAAAAAGTCTTTGTAAATCTTTTAATTTGAGAAAATTATAGGAAAACAACTATGAAACAACTATGTTAACAACTATGAAAATTTTGATTGAGCCATTTGTTTATTGAGTTCAGGAAAATGAGCACAAAAACTAGTATCCAGGTGACCGCATAAAATATGAACACAAATATTTGCTTGGTTGGAATAGTCTCCATGCTCCTTCCTGGTAGGTCTACAGCTCTAATCTGTTCTTTACTGTCTATCCAAAGCCACTTGTTTCATGGCAGTGCTTGGGAAATCCACCACATCAACTAAAACAAGGACCAAATTCTTTTGTGATTGCCATGTATAAAAAAAAACACAAACAAACAAAGTGTCATTCAAAATGACATAATGGCAAGGTTCTGTGGTGGCTCTCATTAAAATAAAAGTGGTTCTTTGAAGGTTCTGAAGTTGAACCGTGACTGGACATCTGCCTAATACCAGCAGCTGGTCGAAAAACGGGTTAAACATGGGCCCTTATGAACACAAATTACGTAAACAACTCTATGTGCGGCTTTGTGTTGGCATATTTTCTTTTGTGGATGTGTTTTAATGAGCGGCTAAAGGTGAAGACTCCCTGCTTCTCAATAAGAAAAGCAATATTGTCTTCTTTTCCTTGGATAATGCATTCTGAGTCAGTGACTAGGCAGAGATAAAAGTAAATATATTGAGACTTGTAATATATCATAGTGAGAGAATGAACTTTTCCCCCTTTATTTTTAGACCATAAGCTGCATTGTCAATATTACTTTGTCAAATTCCATCAGAGCCAATGCAATCTCTTGAGCCACATTTTTACAAAAAGGGATGGAGGCTGACTCCTAATCCAGTACAATTGTGTTTAGAAGTCTTGATATACTGTATTAATACACTGTGTGAGGCTAGACTCCAGGAGGAAATCCACAAAATGTGCCTGCGTGGGTTTATATTGTACAGTGTGGGCATACGTGTGTGTGTTTGGCCTCCCTGACCTAAAAGTTTATAGCCTTCAAGAACAGAATTAGCC